CTTCTGTTTGTTTTAAATTATCCATCTTTTATAGCAAGTCTTTGGACATAAATTTTCAGCCTTACTTGTGGTGTCATTCAACTTAGCAATAAGTATTTTGCACTTGATATGCAAAATACTTATTGCTAAGTTGTGATCAAGACAGATTCTCTAGCAGGCCATCACTCTGTGTTCTTTATAAAATCATGAATGTTGCTAGCAAATGTTACAAATCTGTTTGTGACCATTTCTCAGAAAAATTCAAACTCAAGACTCTCTCTCTCTCTCTCATACACACACACACACACACACACACACACACACACACACAATATCGGGTACTATTTTTTTTAGGTTTTCACATATTTCCCCAAAATGATAGTTACTATCCCGGTGATCTGGGGACCTAGATCATCATAAACTACTGAAGGGTAAGGGACTATGTCTTCTTTTCTTTTTAAACTTTCCATAAATATGCCCGGCACATTCACCTACACTCCCACAACAATATACACTCATATTTAGAATATTCATCCAGACCTGTATGTAAGTTTGAATAGATCTATAGCTTGGAGAGGTGGTTAAGTAATTCCCTCCTAAGTCTTCCTCTGAACTATCCTAAGATTTGTCCTGTAGCCAATCTATGTGTTTATCCTTTAAGAAAAATTATCAGTGATTAAAACAATTTATCTTTTTCTTCCTGTGCATTCAATTTAATAAACATATTTAATGAGCAAAAGATTTTGAGAACAGAGGGAAATATAAATATAAATAAGCCATGGTCCCTCCCCTCAAGAAACACAATCTAATGGAGAGACAGACACATAAAAAGTCTAATAAATGCTACTGTGTAGGTACAAAATATAAGGGGAGAACAGTGTATTATCACTTTATGTCTCAGTGTAATAAAATGGCAAATGCTTCCTTTCAGCTTTATTAAGTTTTTCTAATGTGGATGAGGAATCTTTTTCTATTCCCTTAGGAAGGCAGGCTTCTATCCCTCATATACGTTCTTTTCCAAAAAGGACAAAGTTTCAGGCGACAGTGAGAATGTAAATCTCTGCAGTATGGTCTAGAACAAATCATATCTGGGAGGGATGGTCACTAAGCTAGCTAAATTCTCGCTTTCCTCTTTCATCTGTCTTTGTCCTTCCTAGGGGCTGCCCCTTAGGAGTCAAAGTCAGAAATCAAGGGCATCTCTTCCTTCCTGGAGGGAGGGCACCAAAGCCTGATAACAAAGGCCTACTGTTCCACTTGAAGAGATTGATCTCAGGAAAGGAGAGAATAGAACAGTTAACCTTTAGCATCCCTTGAAATCTTTGCTTTAAAATAATTTGTATTTTAAACACCTTAACAAATGTACATACTTTTAGTGGACTTGCATATTCTAAATACTTATGTACCTATATATAAGGAAAAGATCACACTCTTGACTATTAATAAACACCCCCATGTTAGGAAGATGCTTTCTTTGTGTTTAAGAACAGAAGAGGACCCATTAGAGTTCAGTTAAAAATGCAACTTGAGCAGTACCTATGATAAAATTTTCTAGAAAGTAGAAAACTAAAGAGTGCCTAGAACTATGCAGATACAGACCAACTCTCACACATACCAGGTAGATGGACAGCTGAAATACCTATGTGGCCAATCCCCGCACCCTTCTCTAAGTGTTGACCGTTGCAGCTGCCCTGGCAACATCTCTTTAAGCACTAAGAAGTGGAAGCCATCTAAATTCCCACAAGTTATTCTGAAGGAGATTCTGAAGAGAAATAGCAGATATGGTTTTATACGCAACAAAACCCCTGAGTTTTTATTTGCTCTTTGAGGTTAAAATCAAGGATTGTCAAACTCAGGTTAGGATTAGCCTAGAGATGGGACAGCAACTGTATAATAAAGGGGGTTTCAAAAAGTATATGAGTTCAACCATGGTCTGGAAAATTAGCTGCCATTTGGTGATGAAATGGTGGGTTTAACCTTGAAGCAATTTAGAGTCTTTGTGCAGCAACTTAGAAAATGGGAGTTTATTAAAACTATTTGCAATGGACTGTGTAGCACGCTTGAATTTGAAAATGAGATCATGCTTCTTAAATTCTTAATCAGAGGGATTCTGACCTACAGATATCACTTTGGGCATATTTCTTAAGATCAAGTTTGAAAGGTATTGAAAAAAGCCCAGTATCTACATATATATGTATGGTCAGTGGTCAGCATGAGAGGCCTTTTTTTTTTTTTTCTCTGTTAAATTGAACTATCTGTTTATTTAGTCAACACCTCACCTTAATCCAGAAAGGACAGCTATCGAGTATGATGCCTCCCCCTTTTAAGTTTTTTAATAAAAATTACATATATTTAAGGTGTACAACATGATTTGATATACAAATACATAGTGAAATGATAACTACAGTCGATCTATTTAACATCTCATCTCCTTACATAGTTACCATTTTCTGTGTGGTGAGAGCATCTGAAATCTACTCTTTTAACAAATTTCCAGTATTCAATACAATATTGTTAACTATAGTCATCATGCATATTAGATCTCTAGACCTATTCATTATATGCCTTCCATGCAGAGATCATCATTCCACTCAGCTTTTTTGATTTCCAAATACTTGTAGCTGAAAGCAATAAATGTCCTCATATTGGCAAGACTGGCTATTTGTGAACTGTATGCTGAACTGTATGATAAACTAGAGAAAACTATGTAAAAGTTATGTCTGTAACTCTTTATGGTACATGATACAGCAGGGAATCACACAACCTCAAGAAAATTGAGAAGGGAAATCAATTGTTTAAAAAAATGAAGGAATCAAATTTAAATTCTCAATATATCGTGAGATGTGTTATAACTGTTTCAAATTCTTGTCTGAAGAATGAAGGGATGTTGTAGAACTATTAAATATATTAGTGTCAGGTGGCCTCTTGGCCTGGTGGAGAGCTCAAGTTTGTCCAAAGTATGATCTACCAGTGAGAGAATTAGTATTAAAAAAAGAATCACAGAAAAAGATAATCATTCTTTAGTTTAAGGCAGACCATTTAGTCTTCCTCCAAGCATCTGCTGCCTGATTTTAGAGATAAAAGGAATTAAAAGAAGCAGTCTCTTATTTATCATATGTCAAATTCAAAGGCATTACTGCTTGTGAAGACCCTATTATATTTTAGTTGCCTATCTCAGAAAGAGATCTGCTGAACTGTCCTTAGTGCTTCATGTAGCTTTAAAGATTAGTCCTGCATCAGGTTATTCTAAAGGCTTCCTACCCTCAGAAACATAGATGTCTCAAATCCTGAAACTCACTGAAATATTGATATAAGAAGTTATTTTAGCATAAGCAAGAACACTGTAGTCAAATTTCTGTTTATTATCGTTTGCCTCCAAACTCTGCAAGTAGTAGAAAATAAGGTGTTTTACTGCATTTCAGAACTCTGTATGCACTCTTGGAAAAACAGAAATGTAATGGGCTTCTAGCATTTCAAGAACTCACTGTTAAGACTGTCAAAGGATTCAGTAAGGAATTCTAACTAGAACAGCAAGTCACTAGTGAGAAAGAAAAAAGCATCTCTAGTGAAATCTATGGCCAGTGGACTTTAAACCACACAAACAGCATATTTTATTCAGACCATTTGAAGTTAGACATACCCCAAAGACAACTATACAATAATAGCTTGTCTCCTACTTCCTGGGTGATGTTGTTTTTAGCTTTTAATTGTTAGGAGGGTGGATCAGGTGAAGGGTTTCACTACTACTTGAAAACTAGCTCTCCAGGAAGGGTGAAATCAAGTCCTCTATAGTGTGACCTTCCCTCATCTCCTCAGGGGAATTACATTTAAATATGGGCCAAAGGCTGGTCACAGGAAATGAGGCATTAATCATAGGATTTCAGAAAGTAGCCTTTTGGGAAGCTAGAGGACAGGACAGGTGTCTCCCTGGAGCCTTCAAAAAGTGCAATATGTAGGTCTGCTTTCTCAGATTAGGCTGAAACTCCAAGTCCTTATTACAAATTGTCTTGGAATCCTCATCTGGTTTGATCAGTTTATTATCCACTCCAGAATAACAAAGGAGGGTACACAGGAGTACTTGTATCAGGTAAAGTGAAATAATTGTTTCCTAAATAAAACTAATTTAAATTCTAGGTTAATTAGCTGCCTTGTTGGGGGGAGGGGGGAGAGGGACCACAGATTTGAAAGCTGTGTCTTTTTGGTTTTTGCTTTTTAATATTTGGGAAGATTTTCAAGCAATAACATATTAGGTATGCAATACTCTTGTCAGGTAGTGTGTGTTGGCTTTGGAAAGGTGAGAATTGTTACAGCAGGCTGCTTTCATTTATCAAGCTAAGCATGGACATGCCTTTTGAAGGGCACCTTTGATCATATGGTTAATTTAACATTTGGGCTGAAGAGCTCAACATCACCAGAGATGGATCTGAATTTTACAGAGTCCCCCTTATCCAAACTACAGCACGCTTACTGCTTTCTTCCTGCATTCCCCAGATAGCCTCCAGGACCAGAGACCAGCACGTCATTTTGTCCATTTTCATTGGTCTGGCCACACAAGGAACATCCTGTTTAAATCTCAAGTGCTCAAATTGCCATGTTGAAACCAACTATCAATTTTCCCCACATTTAATTCTCAGCTTCTTGTCATTTTTTCATTTTTCTGCATTGGTTCCCATGGTAACAAGTCTGTTGGCAGAGAAAGTGTGACTCTGCTTTTAGCCTTCTGCACAATACAAAATCCTTCCAGTGACCCTCAGGCAAGTGTCATACAAAAAGGCAGCAAGAGTACAGTTCCCTAGGTTAATGCCTCTAATCCCTTACACTACCACATGCACTTCCCACCCTATTCCCCAAACCAGGCCTGCTGACCCCAGAGAGGAAAGTCAGCATTCAAGGACACTGTCCAGAATCCCTTCACCTGTCCATACAAGTACTGAAAGGGCCAGGGCCCTATATCCAACTACAGAGGCAAGCAAGGATTGAACCTTTGGGTTCAGATGGCTTCCTGTTCTGTCAGTGACTTACCTGACATAAATGCATAATTAATGACAATGTCATCTGGGGGCAGATGGAGAAGCAACTTGCCCTCATTTTTCTATAAAATTTTCTCAGTATGCATTTGAGATGTATACAGCCCAGGAGATAAGTATGTCTTGAATTATCCTTAAATCAGTGTCTAGTGATAAGACAGTAGGGACACTTAAACAGATTTTTTTTCCTAATAAGTAAAGGGGTACGTGAGAGAGGGCCAGGGAGTCATCCCAGAAAACTGAGCTCCTGAAGAGGAAGAGATAAAGATTTAGTTAAGTGAAGAAGACATTGTACCTTGTGGCTGAATGTGAACCATGGAGCTTCAGTCGGCACAATTCCAGGGTTTAAGTATGGAAATCTAAGGAAATGAAATAAAATGAAAGCTAAGGAAATGGGTGTGTAGGGAAAGGAGTTTTTAAGAGTGAATCATCTGCAGAAAGGGAGCCTGCAAATAAGAATGGCTTCATGCAGACTTTGGCCCAACTCTATCCACAAAATATTTTTCCAAGTAATGTTTATTACATATTTTCATTTGAATTTTAGAATTCCTTTGTGGCTTGACATTAAGTTATATGCCTAGCAACCCCAAATCTCCTATGTCCTCAATATTTAGAAAAAAGCAGGAACTGTTCATCAGAAATTAAACAGTCCTCATATTTGAATGTGCTTTTAACTTTTTTCTTTTAGAAAAGTTAATGAATTCAGGGGAATGAAAATAGATATTAGAAATTGAAATATAGGTATCTAAGCTATAGTTAAGAAAACTGTAAATGATTTCTTTTTTTGTTGGGTCTTAAAAAATATGTGATGCTTATGCACACTGAGTTTTAAAGTTAGCAGATTATATTGTATAAAGGTATTTTTGGCCCTTTAGAAATTATTTTCCTACATTAAGAAATGTTTTCTTATATTAAAAACTTTTTATTGTGACTCAGGTTTTATGTCTCTGTATAGACATACATAGGTGTTTTTCTTTGCACACTTGTTTTGCACATGTAAAGTAATGAGGTTAAATAATGCCCAGGTATGCAGGTCAACTGACCTTTATGATAGCTAGATTAGTGAAAGTATTTGATGAATGGGAAAAAAAAAATCACATTATATTTCTTTGTATCTTTCTCTCCCTAATCCCCTTCCCTTATTTAGTCAGGAGATCTTATGTAATTTTTTGAATAGTCCACAGGAAAACCAAGATGAAACTCTCAGGCAGACAGAACATAAAGCAGTTCCCATATTTGCTATGGTAATTTATTTTCAGAATGTACTGCTAAAATAAATGTTATTTTCAATACTTGCAGTCTTTCCACTCAGAGGACTCTTATTGGTCTTGAATGTGGAAAGGCATCTGTTCAGGGCAGAAAGGAATGTTTTATGTTAATTTTTACTCTAGAAAATTTGGTTTTAGCTTTGATGACACCTAGTGTCAATGGAATGCAATAAATGTTTAATACTGCTTTATGGTGTTTAGGCATTTCCCTTTAACATCCTCAACTACGTTTTCCTCCTCAAAAATGCAAGCCTTAGCATTCACGAGAAAGATAACTGATAGATAAACCAGATATTTTTGTGTCAAGAGCCAATCAAGTTTCTTTCTGTACTCAGTGTATAGAAGAGACTAAAGGAAGCTTAAGGACAATGACACTGTCTTCATATGAAAGAGGAAATTTTTCCTAGTTGAAACATCAGAGGTAAAAATCTACTGAATTCTGTTTGTAAATTTCAAAGACCATTAAAAACAACCTTGCAAAAAGTAAGGTTTGCAGGTACTGTATTTTCATTTTTCCCACTTTATAACCAGCCAAGGGCATGACCCCACCCAGCTGTATATAAGTAAACCATAAATATGAACTATGGCCTCTTTTGATTCAGAGAAGAAATATTAAATTAACAACAGCAATTCTAAACAAAGATAGTGATTAAATTTTAATTGGTTTGTTAAGAATTAAAAAGAAACTAGATACTATGTTTTTAGGATTTTTAAGTATCCATGAAAATTCTCTCATTCCTAAACTATTTGATAATTGATTTCTTTTGACCTCAGTTATTTTGGGGCATAATCCTTTTATTACTGTATAATGAAGCTCTAATTCCACCTATTTATATTAATATTTTTCCATATGATAAACACATGCACACACACACAAATTTTCCATTTTTCATTTGAGGTCATATAATTCAGTTAGTGAAATATTTCACTCTTCTGTAAGTTTAAAAAAAAATCCTAAGCAGTGATGCAACATTGGGCCACTATTTCAGTAAAATGAAGACAGTCTCTAGACTCATATTCTTTTATGACATCTGACTTCTCTACCATATGTGCAGCTAAACAGTGACATCTTAAGGCCAAGTAACTAGAGCTCCTTTAGCCAGAGAAAGAACTTGAATTGGGATCTGTTTTCAAAGAAATTCCATTATATTATCAAGTAATTTTCAAGTTTACAATTTGCAATTGGTAGATCTTTGTAAGTGCTTCTTTATTTATGACTTCTTTTGCAGTCTTTGTGAACATTTTAATGTGCACTAGAGTAAACACTAACATTTTACAGACATACTGTATATTAATGCATGCATTTCACTGCATAGTTTATTGACACTACCCTTGTAAAGCTTTTATGGAAGAAAAAACAAGCCACAGCGGTATAGCAAAAGAGGCTTAATCTTTATAAATTGGGGCCTTTTCTGTCTCTTTGCTAGCTTAGGTGGCTGTATACAAATTCGGGTGGGAGGGGGCTGGAAACACCTCTTACCATTTAAGGTTTTCTACGTGGGTGAACTCTAGCCAATTCAAAACAAATTGCTTACTTTAATAACAAATTTTACCATTTTATAAAAAGTTAAATCATGACATGTTTAATTGAAATGGCTGTATTGTAATTAATATTTTGAGATAATCGTGATTTTGAGCTCAAATTATATACAAAAATTGTCATTTTTGTATGTGTTAAAAAAGAATTTACTGTATCACAATTAACAGTACTTTTTAGTTGAATTACATATTGATGTAAATAAAAACTGAATGAAGACATATTTACTACTTTATTAACATAGATTGTGAATGTAGTTAATGGTTTTTTGCAGTATGAGACCATGACAACCTTGAAAGCTGCTTCATTTTATGTGCAAAGAAGTCCTATGAATCTATATTTTAAATTTACTGAATCAGTGAAATTACTTTGTCAGTTAATTTGCAAATGCAAGCTGTATTCTCCAGTTTTATTTTACGTATTGACACTAATCAGTAAAGGTGTACAATGTGATTAGAATGCATTTTGAAGATGCTTTCTGTACAGATACAAAATACAGGGACTAAAATAATGCTGTGCAGTGTATAGCAGAGCCATTTTTCGGCTTTGGTGTACTCAACTTTTTCAGTATTTAAAAAAGTGTTTTGAATAACATAAAAGTCTCTTTATTGTATAAATAATAAAATGTCACCTTATTGTAAAATGTCTTTTGTTTAATACCGAAGCAGATTTCTTAGGCAGCCACAGAGTTGTTGTATGAAAAGGGCATGTTTCTTTTAAACCAAAAACATAAACATTGTAATCAATATTTGAAAAATGTAACTTTTTAATGAACACATAGTATTTATCTTTATTAGCAATGATTTTTTTCATAATATGAGCATGTCTCAATCATCCAAAAGCTATCTATCCATCCATCCACCTGTCTATCTATCTACCTACCTACGTCCTACGTACCTATCCATCATCTATTTATATAAACTAATATACATTCTATTGATTAGTTACTTAATAGAATCACATAGTATGTTTTATAATGACTGACTAGCCTACTTACTTCTGATATTTTTGGTATAAATGTTTATATTTGATCAAATATAACAAATTCCCTTTTAGAAAATTACCACATGACTACAAGCAAATTTAAAAATTAAGACCCTGGAAATTAAAAAAAGGCACAGGATGGATTAGAACACATCAACAGAGTAATTATATATACAAATACCTGCTTAGTAAGTATTTAAACAAAATATATTTCAAGATTTCTATGTAGTATATGCTATTATTTTCTGTTGCTGTTATCCATAAAAATTAATAAAATTTCAGTACTTTTGTTTAAAGAACAAAAGGTATTTTTTAAATGCTCACACTCTGAGGGAAAAATATGCAGATCCAGTTTCTTTAAATTTGTTGAATCTAGAAGTACTAGATTACTGTATGGAAACTTAACACTAAGACATCTTAAAAAAAAACAAAACCCAGAATTGTTTTGCAATTCTTAAATTCAGAATTGTGAGAGCAATTATAACAACACTTTTACTATTCTCTCCACCAATAACCATATCTTATGTAGCATTTCTGTGACATTAGAAAGCCCGACAAAATGATTTCATGAAACATGTAAAAAAGGCTAGGAAAAAACATTTCAACTATATAAACAAAACCAAGCCAGTAAATATTAATTTGAAACTTATACTGACACCAACCACATCATAAAAGTCCTATTATGGATAATGAAAAGTATTATTATTTTTTAAGTGCCAAAGAACAGTATTAAACAAAATTCAATTCAATTTTATATCCAATAAAAAGGTAGAAATTGGATGGTCATATTCAAGTCAATTGGTCATAATATACGTAACACAAACAGAAATGGGAAAAAAAACCCCACCTCTACAACAATGCTTTCTCATTATAAAAATATTAAACTGTGATAAATAAAAATTCACTTCTGAAGAAACTGTTTGCTGTGTTATAAGGGAATGAAAGTGAGGATAAATCTTATGCAAAACATTCAGAGCAAATGTATGAACACTATACGTAGTTACACCATTATAAATGTACATGATACCTTAGAAATATGTTAGTTATCAATCTAAGAACTCTAAGAATTAACATGACCAAGATTACGTAACAACTCCAACTTAAGTAGGAATTCGGTCTCTCAAATATTCCAGAATAGCAGCTGTTCCTTTCATTAATATGGCTGCTCGAGGAACGCGGAACGGATTTCCATCTAGTAGCAATGTCCTAAACAAAGGAGAGAAATTAAGAATTTAAAACATTTTCCATTAGGGAGGCTTTTCTTCTAATTTCATTTGCTATTTTATAAGTAAAATTTGTGTGTTTTTAAAAATTTGTCCCTTTTCAAATCTAAGCATTAAAACAACTGGAATTTTAACTACAATAATGACTGAAACAACATTAAATGAATACTTATTATGTGAAAGGTATTGTTCTAAGTAACTTACATTCACTGACTCTCCTAATTATCTTAACAACCCTGTGATGTAGGCACCATTAATATTTCTATTTTATAGATAATGAAACACAAGTTCAGGAAGGTAAGACAGGCTTGTCCAAGATCACACAGCTATTAAACAGAAGAGCTGCGATATGAACCATCATTTTACCCATCACCTTCTCAATCCTATAATGACCATATACTAAATGGGTGAATTATATTTATACAAGTGTTAGAATGAGCAAACTGACAAATACTCATACCAAAGACTGTAACATAGTCGATATATCCTTTTCCACACTGGGAACATTAACACGTCTGCCCTCATACTCCTTCCCTTGACCAGACACATATATAAAATCTATTTTAAATGTTCTGAAATGAGGTTCAGTTTAAGATCTAAGTGCTGGTTGATTTGTTTCTTTATTTAATTAATGAAATATCTTAAATTATTAGAGACTTTTATATTAATTTTCATTAACTTTAAGTGTTTATGTAAATAAAAGTCAAAGGATTCACAACATATTATACCACAGATCTAAATTATATCTTCAAATATTCCTGTACCTTGGGAATTATTTTAAAGAATGATTTTCTTAATTTATAGAAAAAAAGTTAATTACAGTCAATCTTCATTACTCAGGCTCCAAATTTGCTAATTTGCCTATTCACTAAAATTTACCAGTAACCCCCAAATCAATATATGTGGCATTTTGAAGGTCATTTTGGACATGCACAGAGCAGCAAAAAATTTGAGTCACTTGACAGGCACATTCCCAACTGAGCTCAAACAAGGTGACACTCTGCCTTTTTTGTTTCAGTTCCCATACTGTAAACAAATGTTCCTTCCATGGTCTATTCAGTGCAACATTTTTTGTATTATTGTACCTTTTCTTGGTGATTTCACTGTTTAATATGGCCTGCAAGCATAATGCTGAAGTGTTGTCTAGTTTTTCTAAGCACAAGAAGGATGTCATGTATCTTACACAGAAGATACGTATGTTAGATAAGCTTCATTCAGGCATAAATCACAGTGCTGTTTGGCCATAGCTCAATATTAATGAATCAACAATATTAAATAAGGCATCTTAATACAGAAACACACATAACACAAGGTTATATGTTGACTGGCTGATGAAAACATGACCAGAGGCTTGAAAGAGCCTAACTCTGTTATTTCCCCTAGAGAGTAATGGTTTAGTATTTACTAATTTGGTGTTCACGGAGACTTTATAGAATACAACTATTGCACATAACAATAATCAACTTACTTGTCTTCTATAATTCAGTATTGTGAGGTACCAGAGAAAGATACTAGTGCCACTCTAGTAAAGTAAAATATGCTAAACCATCATATGCAGTTTTCAATAATTAAATTTTTCTGACACATTCTGTTAACTACTGGGCTTTCTGTTCATGTCTCAAATTCCCTTTACATTCACTTAACAAGCACTTATTAGGTGCTTACTATGGTCTAGGCACTGGGGTAACTCTTCCAAAGGAGGACAAAGAAATAGTATAAATGAGTCCAAATAAAGCAGGATGGGAAATCAGAGAAGGGACTAACTCTGCCTGGAATATCGGAAAGGTTTTCAAAGGTGATAATTAGGTTGATTACTGATAAAAGCAGGGTAAAGGCACTTGAGGCTGAGGTAACAGCAAACACAGAGTAAGAAAGACCATGCTGGCCTTGAAAAAATGGTAGTAGTCTGTAATCAGATATTGAAAAAACTTATATGCACAGCTAAGGAATTTATATTTCCTTGACATTTTTATGCAGTAGAGTTTCAGATTATACACATACATAGTGATGAGAAAAGTATCACTAGAAACAATCAATTGCTGTATTTACACATATAGATACTGTATTAAAAAACTAAAAAATATATTTGGTAACATTTGAAAAACAGAATTGGGATTCGGAGTTTTGTTACCTGTTATTTTTAATGGGACATTAAATTTTTTATTTCAACTTGCCTGCAAGTGTACCTCGAAAAGCAAAAACAAAACAAAACAAAAAAATAACCCTTCAACAAATCGAATGGAAAAACTTAGTAGAATGGTGCATTTACCTTAAGTTCACACAATTACCGAGCTCTGGTGGAATTTGTAGGAGGTCATTATTTTGAAGGTCCAATGTAATCAGATTTTCCATTGTCTTCATTTTCTGAGGGTCCACAGATCCAACCTGATTATTACTAATCAAAATTGTTTCAAGTGTGGGAATTTGATACAGAACTTCAGGTAGTATTTTGAACCTATAAGAATATGAACAGAACACCTAAATATATTAGAATCAGAAGCAAAATCATTCCTTCAAATAGATGGTCCTAAGTTTGATACCATGAGATAAAGTTTTCTTAATGTAAGTTTTTAATATTTGGTATAAGTTCTGCATTTAAATTTTTCAGAAAAAAATTTAAAACTGGATTAATTCTGGAAACCTTGAAATATATGTTAAGTGGACACACTTGTAACAGTTTCTATTTAATGTATAAAATCAAACAAAAGTTTGGAGTAAATTCTCCTATGTTTTTCTTTTCTCATTCAGGAGACAAGGAAATCTTCCTGAAATGCTCTCAGTATAATGCCTCCATGTAGGTTTTCTTCCTTAGTTCACTTTTACTTCTTATGAAAGAGAATCACTGCCAATATCTTAAGTAAAAGTTAGAGATTTATACTTTGCTTTGGCTTAAGCTTCGAAACTGACTAGTTTTGTCATTTTTTCAACCAAAAATACACTCATTTTGGTTTTTGAAAAAATGACAAAACTAATATAGGCTGCTGGCTTTCTCACCCAAAGCAGCCCTGAAGATGCCACAAGAGAGATGGGAAAGCTTATGGCTCTCAGAGCAATTCTCAGTAATTAACACAAAATCCCTGAGGATCTTTTGGGGGACAGAAGCTAGTTTGGTTTTAGTGTGAGGCAAACTGCTGCCTCAACTAGAAAAGACAAGGATGAGCTGAAAGAAAGCTTTATAGTTGGCCTTTTCACTTCCCCATACTGCCCTTCCTTTGCTGCCTTGATGTTTAAAAAAAAAAAAAAGCAATAATGAACAGTAAACTCAAGGCATCTTTGAAATTAGAGGGATCGGAGAATCAATAACAAGGAGTACAGATGGACCAAACCACCCTAAATAGTATGTCCTCTTTTTCCCCGCACAACCCATAAACAAGGTAATTAAAAAAGATGTAGTTCACCAGTTAACACAGAAGTTAGGGTTAGGTTTTGCCAGCTCCCCAAAAGACATTAATTAACAATGCAATTGATAGCTCAATAGAGAATCGATAGTTCAATTTAAAAATAAAAATTAGAAGAAATCTGAAAAGTGCATATATTTTAAAATAATGACAACAGTGGTATAACCTACACATGAGAAAACACAAATAATAGAGTAGACGGAACAAAAACTTAAATAGGCAATATTTTAACATCACTGTGCCTTAGATTCCTCATCTGTAAATGAGGAATAATAATAGTACTAAACTTATATACTTGAAGACCTTGGTATAGTATCTGTAATATATTAAATGATAGCTACTAATATTTATATTAACTTGTTACCAGAATCAACTTTCACCATAGGAAACAATATGACATAGTTGTTAAGAGCCCAACTTCTAGAGTCAAAACACCTGGGCTCAAACCCCAGCTCTATAATCTATGTGAACCTTAAGTGAGTTACTTAATTCCTAATCCTCGATTTCTAAATGGACATAATAACAGAACCTACCATGTAGGGCTTTTGTGAGAATTAAATGAGGTAATACATGTAAAGTACTTGGTCCGGAGTCAGCAGATAATACATATTAATAAATAAGCTCCCAATAAATACTAGCTATTCTTAATTATTAGTAGTATCTTCATAGTGTTTACAGAATAAAATCTAAATTTCACTGGGCATAAAAAGCTCTTAAAGGGCTGGCTACTGCTTACACACCCAACTTCATTTGTGACTTCCACTCTTCTACTTTCCCACTTTATGGCCCTAGCCATATTGAACTTCTTGACGTGTCCCATCATTTTCTCACATCCTTGTGCCTTAGTATATGCTATTTGCTCTACACGGGATGCCATATCCCTGTGTGTCTGGCAAATGTCTATGTTCCAAGCCTCAGTTTCAGAGCTACCTCCTCTACCTTCAAGTAATCTCTGGAAACACTTATGTCTAGGCACTGTGCTTCCACTACAGTGATTAGAATTATTTATTTGCTATTTGTCTTCCTACTAGCTTACAGGTTTCTTAAAATGGTTAAAAGAAACAAAAAATCTACTAGACATCAGTTGTGAAAATTCTAAAAAAGCAACATCACTTTTAATTCTAAGTAGAACTAAGTGAAAATAAACCTGGATATTTAAATAAAGAAAACATATAGGCCTTTTTGTTTATTTGGTTCTTTTAGTTGTATTCTCTAGTAAGACCTACAAATTTTCCACAGAAAATTGTTATTCAGATTTGTCTGTTCTGTTTCTTACCTATTAAAGGAAAGGTTGATTGTTTGTAGTCTTATCAATGATTCCATTTCTTCAGGTAAAGAATTTAAAAAATTATTCCTAAATTAGAGAGAAAAAAGATGATTTACAAAGTTTGAAAATCTGTACAACTTTAGTTTATAATTAAAATGTTGACCAGACAAAAATTTATGCAGCTCAGTTTGTCAATTCTTGATTTCATTAAGGCTGTGTCCTAAGAATTCTGAATCGGTCAGCTGCTTCAAGTATTTGATTAATGTGCCAAATCCTAATGGCAATGTGCAACCAACTGATACTGCAGTTAACTCGTTAATAATAGATTTAACAGGGTAAACACTGTAAACTAATTCCCTATCTCCTTCAAACTGCAATCAACAATACTTTCCACAGACAGAGCCCTTTCGGTTATGCTTATAAATACTACATTATTTGATATCACAAGTATTATAAATATTTGATTAATAGAAATATTTCACATATAGACATTAAATTCTACTCCAAGAACAACTGAAAAATTACATGAAAAAGATGAAACAGGAAACTAAAGAGATTCTATATGTTTAGAAACTTGGTGCTTTCTACTACATAAGTATTAAGTAAGTCCATTTCTACTCTAAGTTTAGAATTTCAATTTGCACAGTGTGTAATTTTTTAAGATCTTACAATAAAACACAGCAGTAAAGGGAATCTCATTTACTACTGAAAAGATCTGGGAACAATTTTAGAAGAAAGGTTAACAAGAAGGTAGAAGCACTCTAGAGGCCGTATAAGTACTAATAATAGAAAATATTTGTGAAAAAGTTATATCCAACTAGATGGTTATCTATCACAATTGAATAATTTTCTCTAACCTATATCTTTGCATTCAGAAGTCAAGCCTAATATATGAGTCATACTTTCTCAACTCAACATATGTTGTTTTTTCTTTTCTCTGTACTTTTCTCCAGTTATTGCCTTTATTAATTTGTGCTGAGTAACACAATGATGGTTTCTATCTTTTCCTGGAGTCTTATACCTACTGATAGCAAACATAAAGGCGTATTTTAGTCACTTAATTAGAAATTTCCAGGTATAGTTATAGACAGAGGCATGAGCGCGTACACATACACACACGCACACACACACGAGAATGGGATGAAAAATAAAGTGAGCAGCAATGGAGGCAGGAATTTATTCTCACTGTTCTATTAATACTGAACTAAAATGAGGTTTTAAACTGTTTTGCCAGTGTAATTGCCCCTGGAAAAGAGAAGCAATTCCGCATTTAGCAGGAGCAGAGTTATTAGTATATTTGCTTTAATCCCATAAAAAAAATTTTGTCTCTACAGGAAGAATAAATCTTCAAACAGATATAAATAGCTTATTGTAATTTATTGTTTGAGCAAAGCAAGAGCAGCTAAAAATAACAACACACGAACAGTAAGAAGCCCAGGTAATAGAAACATATTTTACAAATTAAGTTTTAAAGCCCAAGAAAATAAATGACTGTCTAACCCTGAAATACCTATTATTACCCCCAAAAAACTGTGACACTTCTGATCCTGTCACTTCAACTTAGGATATATTTAAACTAAACTTCCTATTACCTCTGTAGAGCCTTAAATAGTTTCTTTACTTTTTATTGCCACTCATAGTGTTCTTTTTCTTTATTTCTTGCCTTGCATGGTTAATATAATATTTTGAAACCAAACAGGTTCTTTTTGAGAGAAGTCATGCTAGCTGCTGTGCCAGCATAGGGTTTTGACAGTTTTATGCTAAAAAAGAAACAATGTGAAGCAAACACTTTCCATGTGCTATCTGTAATTTTGCCTAAGCATGAATGTAAATAATGTATTAATATTTTCTAATATTTTAAGTAATTTTGTCTTGTCACATAACTTGTAAATTACCTTCAGATGACATCTGATTAAAATATTTCCTAAATGCTTAATTACGGATTTCTCCTAAAATGTTATTAATAAACTAAAGACCAATTTCTTTTCTTAGAAAAACATGAGGGAAAGGGCAAAAGTTAGGTAAAACACAAAGATAAGTTATTATTAAAAAAGGGAAGCAAGGCTTCCCCAGTGGTACAGTGGTTAAGAATCTGCCTGCCAGTGCAGGGAACACAGGTTCAAGTCCAGGTCCGTGAAGATCCCACATGCCGCAGAGCAACTAAGCCCGTGGGCCACACTACTGAGCCTGCACTCTAGAGCTCACGAGTCACAACTATTGAAGCCCACGCGCCTGTCTCCACAACGAGAAGCCACCGCAATGAGAAGCCCACGCACCGTAACAAAGAGTAGCCCCCACTCGCCACAACTAGAGAAAGCCCACACACAGCAACGAAGACCCAATGCAGCCAAAAATAAATAAATAAAATAAATAAATAAAAAATAATTTTTTAAAAAGGGAAGCAACAGTATCAATAAATACCTGAGATCTATAAAGGTTAATTTTTGAAGCATACATAATTCCAAGGATATAAAGGAAAGCTTATTAAAACTGAGATTGACATCAGTAACCATTTCTTTCAGTTCCACAATCCTGAAACAAAAATAATTTTTAAATGTTAATACTATTTGAATTCACTGTCAGAACTTCAAAACTACAAGCAGACTATAGAGGAAAAAAATCTTACATTATTTTTGCTAATTAAGATTTTCTGTAACTGTTACTTTTCTCATAAAAATTGCAATCAGTTTGGATGTGTAACTGATAAAAATAGGTTTTTAAAAATAGCCATAATATTATCTGTCAAAGAATTTCTATTTGACCTTAAATGTAGATTGAAGTTTAAGAAACCATTCAGTTTATATTTAAACCAATTATGGACAAAAAAAATTCAATCTAGGCAATGTTTATACTATATCTGTGACTTGAATACATAAAATAAATTGTCAGACATATATTCTGTAATATCGTAGTTATTGTTTTAGACTCCATAATATAAAACCATCTAAGTACCAGAAGTATCTGATACATCAAAATGCTTTTTAAATATGATATGGCAACATTTTAAAAGTATAGTATCTCTTATCCAAATTATCATTTAATCATGATTGCAAGAAAACAGTAAGTTAATTCCTAGGTTTGCTAAGTGTTACTACTAAGCAACTTAAGCCAAATACTTAGAGAGGAAGAATTAAATACTTCTAAGTAAACCTGATCAAACTTAGTAGTTTGAAAGTACGATATTAATTTAAGAACAAGAGATGTTACATATGATTTGCCAAAAAACAAAAGTTAAACTGTAAATCATTTTTGTCTATCATATTAGCAAAGAAAAAAAAAAAGAGAAAGAATATCAAATGCTGTGCTAAAGAAGATTAAAAGTGAAAGATACCATCATGAAAGATACCATGAGTCTGGATATGTAACTGATAAAACTCTTTTGGAAAGCTTTTGGACTTATGTATCAAGAGCCATACTCTGATTTGGTAATTCTTCTGAAAATTTGGTTTAGAGATACAATGTTTTGTTTTATTTACAATCAAGCTTATGGTATATAGATAAATTACATTTTTAAAGTATTGTTTACAACATGGGAAAATGTTTATGACAAATAAACCAGTCAAGATACAAATTATATGTATAATTCTAAATGGGTAGTAGCTTGAAATAAAATATGCCAGGAAGTCAATAGAATAAATCAGTGATGAGACCATAAATTACTTGTCTCTTCATTTAGTCCAATATTTTATAAATAAGTATTATTTTTGCAATCAATTTTGTGACTTGTGAAAAAAAACATGACGAAATAACTGTGGTAACAGAATAGCATACGGTTTTGCATAAAAATAATCAGACTGTGGGATAAAATGAGAAAGTAAGCAATAACATAATATCTTTTAACTCCTTCCATCTTCATCCCCAATCAGCTTGTTTGATCTAGGATCCCTAAGGCAAACTTGTCCTATCTAAGAGCCAATCTAAATGTTCAACTATTCTATCAAATACCTTCTGAACACTTTAAACAAGAGAGAAAAAGAAGTTGAACTAGATCTCCTTTCTCAGTAGAATCTCTTAACGTTATCATCTTTCAAGATCTACATTCCTCAAACTATTCTCTGTAAATAGAAAGCAAGTAATAGTTTGTCTGACTTTTTAAAAATTTTAAGCCATCTAAAAAAATTTTGGGCAGTCAGATGAAATTTCCCCAATACATCATCTTTTTTTTTCTTTTTCTTTTTTTTTTTAAGTACTTAAGTATTTATTAAGTGCTAGGCACTGGTTAAATGCTTTAAGTGGATATGTCATTTAATTTAATTCTTATAAATAGGTCTATTATCATCTCTACTTCACAACTGAGGAAAGTAAGAGAAGCTAGTTAACCTGCCCAAAGCCACAAAGCTCATAGATCTGGGATATAGATACAAGCAACTGACTCTATTGCCCAAATTCTTTATGATTACCCTATCCTGTCTCCCATACTGCTGTTTTAATTGCAAGGCTATTTGTCAACTTTCTTTGGGTATATAGTTAATGGCAAGATAACAATCATTTTTAGAAGTTCAACACTATACTAAACTAATATTCTCTCAAAACCTAAAGATTGTGCTATAATTAACATCCAGAGAGATGTATTAAACAGTACAAAGTACAATGCAAATGATTTCTAATGTTTGTAAATGAAGAATCCTTTTCTAGGAGGAAAATGTTAACAGAGTTGTCAATTTTGCTTTTACTATCAGTGGAAAAATTCACTGGCTTGGCAATTCATTAACATAAAGCCCCAAATTCCTATTAATCTACATGAAATTGGCTTTAGATGATCTCTTAAAACTTTCCTCTGATATTTCACTATATAGGAAAAAAGTATTTTTAATAATTCTAATATCTATTTTCCAAGTTTAAAATGTAAATGAAAAAGAAAGTTTTAACCTATCTATCTCTCAGAACCAATGTTAAAAGTGTCTCAGAGAATACTTAAGTAAATTTTACCAAATCCCTCAAATATTAACAATGTAAGAAATTTTACATATACTTTTTAATTAAAAAACTATGACAAATAATTATTCTTGCAACTAAGATACAAGTACAACTGAGAATGATTCACAACTTAACAGAAATAGCATCACGAACAGTTCTTACCTTTTGGGAATTTCACATAGCTGATTCTTACTGAAGTTAACAGAAGTGATAATGTTACTTTTTACTGCATCAAACACTTCATCAGGAATCAAAGTTGTTTGTTTATCACTAAATGAAAAATGGTTTAAAATGCATCATTCTTAGCAATCTGGAAAGATATGATTATTGCTTTTCATTTTAAAGGCCTTTAAAGATTTCATAAGGAGATTTTTCAAGGTAGTTGATTATGAAGTTCTGTAAAAAATGCTAAAAAAACCTGCCAACCCACAAAATGTTAACTGTTAGGAATTCAGACAACATATTGTGTCATAACACTTTGTGCCACACCTTCTGTGTAGTCATATACTCAATGGGAATAAAAACAGAGAGATATCTTCAGAGCTTAAGATGTCCAAAAGTCATACAGTAAAGGAAAAGTAAATAGATTCCTCTACCTCAGAGTAAAACTAAATGTGTAATTTAAAGAACTGTTCTCACCCCTTTTCTTAAAAATCTCTAACAGAGGTTAGCTCTCAACTTTCTTTGGGTATATAGTTAACTATAAGACAATCATTTTTAAAAGTTCAACACTGTACTAAACTAGTTTTCTCATAACCTAAACCAATTTCTCTCTCATTTAGCATGTGAAAAGGTACACAGGGTAGTGGCCTTGGATTAAACTATTCCTAGTTCTTCCATTAATAAAATAAGCTTTGTAATTTACCTTCCTTAATCCTCAGTTCTATGAAATTAGAATCTGAAGAATTAGTCACTGTTATTTATGTCAGATTTTTTGCAAATATAAACATAAATACATTTCCTTTTCATTAAAATTTTCAGTTATATTTTCAATAAAATATAAATTTAATCTTAAATGAAAGTTTAGTAGAACTGACGTTTGCAGATTTAACAATTTGATGTTATAATTAGCTGTTACGCTTATGTTATTCTTTTACAATTTTTAATGCCTAATCTCATCCACTTAAAAGAATCTTCAATGGAATGTCGAATGACTGTATGAGCAAGAAAACAATATTACATATAATGTGTGTTATGGGAGAACTGTATAAGAAAAGCATACAGTATACAGAAAGATAAAAGGTAAAAAAAAATGATAAAAAGCCTAGATTTCACTGTTATTATGCCTTCCACTTTTGCTTTCAGGACCCATTTTCTGCTATGCAGATGGAGCACTTCTATCTTTTCCATCAGAAATACTCAAGTCATGGGAAACTGATTTATTCAAATTAAACTTTGAAGATTTATGCTATGTTTAAAACTTTAGTTGAAGGCATTTATGCCTTAAGATTGGGAAATAACTTATATTTTAAATAGGATACTCCTGTCCAATTAAAGACTCCAAGGAAAACAAATTACAATAAATTTCGAATCAAAACAATTTAAGATGTATGGTCTTAAGCCCTATCTTCATTATGCTTTTGTGACATCTGTACATTTAAAGGATGGGAATGATTATACCCCACCAAAAAAAAGTTGTACCAATACTGTTTTATAGATTTTTTAAATGATTAAAAGCAAGAGCATATGTGAAGTACCCAGTACAATGTCCAACAGAATAGAAACTCAATAAATCATATCCATGCAGGGTGGAGAGAATGGAAGCCAGAGATAAAAGGAATTTTAAGCTAAGAAATTCCAAGGCAGGAATCAAGTGTGTCTGATCATTCAGTGTATTACAACACCTAGCATAGAATTTGATACATACTTAGTAGACTCCAAAAATACCTACTGAATAAATGGATATATTATATGTAAGATAAGACATGCTAAATTGCTATGTTATGCTATGAGAAGAAGGACACAACTACAAGTAGGGAAGAGTACTACCCTGTGTTACAGTGTCAAAGAAGGAAGGTGGTTTAGGGTAGTGATTTCTATGTGAATGGAACATAACAAATCTGAAACAGAGACTGAATCTTAACTGCTCAGCAGGTGGTACCTACTGATACATTAAGGAAAAGAGGCCAGAAATTAATGCTGGCTGTGTGGGTAACTGAACAAACCCAGTCACTATCTAACTTGAGTCTGTATTCTTTTTTATTTTCATTACAATACCCAGACATGAGCTAATCACTGCAAGAGTTTTGACAGTATTGGTTGTTTTTATCATTGTTGCCTTAGATGCTACTGAAGAATACTTGACAACCACTTCCAATCTCTGCATAGGTATCTTCTTTCTCCAATTGAACACACACCCATAGTATATAAAAATTATTAGGCTTCTGCCTCAGTTTATATACCAACATTGTAATTATTTCAGGTTTATCATATGTGCTACCAGAGCACATTATTATGACATATTATTTGACTTGTATTCAAATATATAAACAGAGTACAACCTCTCATGCTTTGCCTGCTTGAGGTGTTCATTAAATAAATGATACTTATTTTTTAGTTACCAATATAGGAACCCCTCCAATATAAAATTCTCTCTGGATGCTGGTAACTGAGTCAGAAAATTTTATTACCAATGAATACTATCACTCTTATTTTTTATAATAATAAAATGTTCTTTATTATAAAAATTTTACTATTAACGACCATTTATCTATCTCTTAAGTCTAATCAACACAAATCACCTAAGGAATGGGCATTTAAGTGCACTGTACTTTTAATATGCTTTTATCTCATCACTGTTTTTGCAATTGCTATTATTCTAAGTACTAATGCACTCTGATGAATTCTTCACCAATTTTTCTGAAGGATTATTTCTGAAAGTTTCCTATGTTTTGCAACATTTAAAAAAATGAATTACATACCTATAGTCTAATATTTTTAATGTGATGATGGCGTGTACATTGACTCTAGATTCACTTGGTAGTGTCATGGCAGTCTCAGTAACAGAATCACTTTGGCTAGGTCCATCATCTGGCAAAAGAAAAGTTATATAAAAACCAATATTTATACTGCAAAGTCATTTTTAAAATTCTTAAAAATACTTAAAAATAGTTTACATGATTTCTATTGATAGATATTACTGGTAAAAATATCTTTTCATATGCTTTATTTCCAATATCTCAAATCTAGATCTAGAATTTAATCTTTATTTAATAGAAATAAAGTTCAAAATATTTTAATAAATCCTACCATAAGAAAATTTAGGAGTAGGAAAGAATAAAGAATAACTACAATGTCTCAGAAGAAACAATGACAAGCAATCCTTCCTCTTAAGCAAAAATAATATGGTATTACTTCTAATGAAGGAATTTGTTAACAAAGGAAAAGTATTATTTCCCCAAAATTTCTACCAAATAGGCATCTGCCTATCTTTTCAGTTTAGGATACTATGAAGCTGATTATCCCCAATTATTTAAAATCTGGCAACTTGCATAGTCAAGTAAGTTTTTGGTACATTACTCACATTAAGATCTTTCTTAGCAAATTAAGACTTTATTTTAAATAGATATTTCCTAACATGCATACCTACTTACACATTTACATACAATCAACCCTTTCACTAATCTCCAGAGACTGTTTAATGTTTCACACTGTCATAATATGGCATAAAAAACAAAACAAACAAAAATCATACACATTTAAAAGAGACAGCTTTGTGATTTTTTGGCAAAAGAGACTTCAGCAATCTAGACGGAAATAAAATAAGACTATTAATTTTTAGCGATGAAAAAACGATAAAACGGTCCTAGTATTCATATGTTAAGAGCAGAGGCTTGCCAAAAGAACATTAAAAAAAAAAAAAAATCAGTAGTATCCTTGATCTTGCTTCAACCCAGTAGGCATTTAGTGAACATTTGTTGAATAATACCAAGTGTATTTCTCTTGCATTAAGCTCATCAGTTATTCATTAATCAATAATTACTAAGTGATTATTTTCCACACAAATACATATCATATAAATATTTTATTTACAGAAGTAGCACAGAATAAATGACAGAATATCAAATAGAAATAAAAGACACCAAGAAAAATATTAATACCAAGTGAAATGTTTTGGTATTTAGAAGTTCCCTAGCGATTTGGTTATGTCACTTTAAAAAATATGTAATATATATTGCCAAATTACATCAGCAGAGAGACATATTAAACCAGCAACAAAACCCAGCATTATTTTTTAAATATACATGTATATTAGCATGATTACATATTGAAATAGAATATTCTCAACACTTTCCAAAGAGCTACTTTTAATAATCAGCATCAAGGAGACTGTAAAGAGAGAGGCTGATGTCTCTTGGGAGGGGACTACTGTGACAAATAGATTTATTTTTCATTGTATGTTCTTGTATATTGCTTGAATTTTTTTTTTACCATATACATTTATTGACTTTTTGATTAAAAAAACTAAGATGGCGATATTCCATAAACTGATCTAGATTCAATGTAATCCCTATCAGAAACCCAGCTGACTTCTTTGTAGAAATTAATAAGCTGATTCTAAAATTTGTATGCAATTGCAAGAAACCCAGAATAGCCAAGACAAACCCAAGAAAGAAGAATAAAGTAGGACTTACACTTCCCAATTTCAGAACTTAGTACAAAGCAGTGGTAATCAAGATACTGTAGTACTGGCACAGGATAGACATACAGATCAATGGAATAAAACTGAGAGTCCAGAATAAATCCTACATTTATAGTTAAGTGATATTCAACAAAAGATGCCAAGACCATTCAGTGAGAAAAGAATCCTTTTCAACAAATAGTACACAGAAACTGGATAGTCACAAGCAAAAGAATGAAATTATACCCTTATCTCATACTATATATAAAAATTAACTCAAAGTGGATCAAAGACATGAATGTAAGAGCAAAAGTATAAAACTCTTAGAAGAAAAAATAGGAGAAAATCTTCATAAAACAGGGTTTTGCAAAGGACTTTTAGATATGAAACCAAACACATAAGCAAAAAAAGAAAGTGATTCCATCAAAATTCAAAGAAAACTTGTTTCAAAGGACCCTATCAAGAAAATGAAAAGACAAACCCACAGAAGCCTAGAAAATATCTGCAAATCATATATCTGACAAGAGACTTATATCTAGACTACATAAAGAATTATTACATCTCAATAATAAAAATAATTAAAAATTGGGCACTGTATCTCAACTGGGCAATGTATTTCTCCAAAGATGTACAAATGGCTAATAAGCACATGATGTTCAACATTATTATTCATCAGGGAAATGCAAATCATATCTACAATGAGATACCACTTCATACCCACTAGAATGGCTAGAATCAGAAAGTCAGAAAACAAGTGTTAGTGAGGATGTGGAAGAATCAGAACCCTAATACAATACTAATGAGAATGTAAACTGGTGCAGCTGCTTTGTGAAAAACAGTCTGGCAGTTCTCAAATGACTTAATATAAAATTACCATACGACCCAGCAATTCCACTCCTAGATATATATGCAAGAGAAATGAAAACACGTTCACACTGAAACTTGTAAATAAATGTTTATCACTGCATTATCCATAATAGCCAAAGGTACTGCAATTCTTTTTGAGGTGATGAAAATGTTTAAAACTGACTATGCCAAGGGTTGTACTTACCTGTTAATATAGCAAAAAACATGTAGTTGTACAATTCTAATGGAAGAATTGTATGGCATGTGAATTACATGACAATAAAGCTGCTTCTTATTTAAAAAAAAAAAAAAAAAGCTGTATTTTACAGCTCCCCTTACATGAGTGGCCGCAATATAAGTTCTGACCAATGGCATATGAGAAGAAGTCATGTACAATACAACAGCTTAATATATATCCTAATATATTTAATCGACCTTGTATCTTATAATGCCATAAAACACACCTTTTTAAAGTACAGAAATCATACAATGTCTACTCTCAGAGGACAATGAAATTAAACTAGAAATCAACAGAAAGATAACTGGAAATTCTCAAAATATGTGATTATTAAACAACACATTTCTAAATAACACATAGCTCAAAAAAGAAACCTAAAGAGAAATTCTACAATATTTTTAACTACATAAAAATAAAACCACAACTTATTAAAATCTGTTGTATGCAGCGAAAGCAGTGTTTAGAGGGAAACTCACAGCATTCAATGCATATACTAGAAAAAAAGAAAGATCTAAAATCGCCAATCTAAGTTTCTACCTTAGGAAATTAGAAAAAGAAGAGATAATTAAATCCAAATTAAGAAGAAAAGAAATAAGAAGAACTAGAGTAGAAATTGATGAAATTGAAAACAGGAGATCAATAGAGAAAAATCAATAAGACCAAAAGCTAGTTATTTGAAAAGATCAATAAAATTAGTATGCCTCTATGCCAGGCTAACTAAGAAAAAAGGAGAGAGGACACAAATGACTAATATCAGAAATGAGAGAGAAGACATCACTGCAGGTTCCATGCACACAAAAAAGGATAATGAAAGAATACTAAGAACAATTCTATGTCCACAATTTTGATAACCTAGATGAAATGGGTGAATTCCTAGAAATACACAATCTTCCAAAACTCACACAAGAAAAAACAGACAATCTGAATAGGCCTATTATCTATTAAAGGAATCGAATCAATAATTAATAACCTTCCAAAACAGAAAGCACCAGGCCCAGACAGTATGACTGGTGAATTCTACCAAACATTTAAGGAAGAAATTATACCAATACTCTACAATCTTCTTCCAAGGAATGAAGCAGAGGGAATACTTCCTAACTCATTCCATGAGGCCAGTACTACCCTAATACCAAAACCAGACAAAGAAATTGCAAGAAAATAAAACTAGAAAGCAAAATCTCTCATGAACATACATGTAAAAATCCTCAACAAAATATTTGCAAATCAAATCTAAAAAAAGTATAAAAAGAATTATACACCATAACCAACTGGGATTTAACCCAGGTATGCAAGGCTAGTTCAGCATTCAAAAAATCAACTAATGCAATCCTTCATATCAACAGGCTAAAAAAGAAAAATTACATGGTCATATCAATAGATGTATAAAATGTGTTTGATAAAATCCAACAGGCATTTATGATAAAAACTCAGTAAAACAGAAACAAGAGAACTTTCTCAATTTAATAAAGACTATAACAGCCCTACAGCTGTCATAATTAATGTTGAGAAACTTGAAGCTTTCCCCCTAAGATCAGGTACAAGGCAAGGATGTTCCCTCTCTCCACTCACTCCTCTTCAGCACTGCACTGGAAGTTCTTGCTAATGCAATAAGAAAAGAAAAGAGATAAAAGGTACACAGATTGGGAAGGAGGACATAAAACTGTCTTTGTTCACAGATGGCACAATCATATTGTTAGAAAATCCAAAAATAACCTCCTGGAACTAATAAGTGATTATACTATAGTAAGGCTGCAGGATATTAGGTTAATATATAAAAGTAAATTGTTTTCCTCTATATCAACAATAAACAAGTAGAGTTTGAAATTAAAAACACAGTACCATTTACATTAGCATCCAAAACTGAAATACTCAGGTATAAATCTAATAAATGTGAATAAGAACTCTATGAGGAAAACTATAAAACTTTGATGAATGAAATCAAAGAAGATCTAAATAAATGGAGAGATATTCCATATTCATGGATGGAAAGATCCAATACTGTCAAGATGTCATTTCTTCCCTATTTGATCTATATATTCAATGTAATTCCAATCAAAAACCCAGCAAGTTATTTTGTCAGTATCAACAAATTGATTCTAAGGTTTATATGGAGAGGCAAAAGAGCCAGAATAGGAAACATAGTATTGAAAGAGAAGAACAAAATTGGAAGACTGATGCTATCCAACTTAAAGACAGTAATCAAGACAGTGTGATATGGTAAAAGAACAAAGAGATCAATGAACAGAATAGACAATCCATAAAGAGACCACCATAAATGTAGTCAGCTGATCTTTGACAAAGAAGCAAAGGTAATACAATGGAATATACAAAGGCAAAGATAGTCTTTTTCACAATGATGCTGAAACAATGGGACATCCATATGCAAAATAGCAGCTTTGCGTTTCCCTGGTGGCGCAGTGGTTGAGAGTTCACCTGCCGATGCAGGGCACACGGGTTCGTGTCCCGGTTCGGGAAGATCCCACATGCCGAGGAGCGGCTGGGCCCATGAGCCATGGCCGCTGAGCCTGTGCGTCCGGAGCCTGTGCTCCGCAACGGGAGAGGCCACAACAGTGAGAGGCCCGCGTACTGCAAAAAAAAAAAAAAAAACCCAAAAAACAAAAAAAAATAGCAGCTTTATTTATAACTGTCAAAACTTCGAAGCAACCGTGACGTCTTGCAGTAGGTGGGTGAGTAGATAAACTGTGGTACATACAGACAGTGAAATATCATTCAGTGCTAAAAGGAAATAAGCTATCAAGCCTTAAAAAGACATGAGGGAAGCTTAAATGCATAATACTAAGTGAAAGAAGCCGATCTGAAAAGGTGACAGACTGTATGATTCCAATTATTTGACATTCTGGAAAAGACATAAATACAGAGACAAGAAAAAGATCAGTGGTTGTCAGGGATGGCAGGGATTGTGGGGGGGAGGGAGGATTAATAGGCAGATCACAGAGGATTTTTACAGCAGTGAAAATACTTTGTATATTACAATGATGAATACATGGCATTATACATTTGTTCAAACCCATAGAATGTACAACACCAAGAGTGAACCCTAAGGTATCTATGCACCTGGGGTGATTTAGATGTGTCAATGTAGGTTCATCCTTTGTAAAAAATGTACTATTCTGGTGAGTGTTGCTGATACTGGGGGAGGGTATATGTGTGCAGGCAGAGGACATATGGGAAATCTCTGTACCTTCCTCTCAATTTTGTTGTAAACCTTAAAGTAGTCTAAAAAAAAGGTTTAAAATTTTTTCTAATTATTCTGACATGACTTCTAACTGATTTATATCAGAATAATCAATCTTTCTTGAGGAGAAAGTATATCTGGAGAAAAAAGGACACTCTCTGATTGTCAGAAAATGAGAGTCTTAGAAAATTATGTCAATTTATTTGAAGGGCAAAGTGGAAAATATAAATTACTTAAGTATACAATTATCTTATTTATTTAACATCTACTGACTGACATTATGGTGCTAGACTAGGCTGTGCATAACCAAGAGTTGTGAGCTAAATTAATAGCTACTGTATTTAGCCACTAAGTTACGGAGTGGTTTGTTATGCAGCATTACACTGGCACAAAAAATTTTTTTCTTAATGTTCTAAATGTAGTGTGTGCTACAATAACATACATGAAATAAAAACTGGAATAAATCACAATTTTAGTGAAACATTAAAAATTAAATTTATGGTAATTTTTCTTTTGGTGCATGTTCGTGCTAAATTAGTATATCCTAAAAAATGTGTTTTGTCTTTATTTTTGTCAGAACTTACCAAAACTATGAATGCAGCATATATTCAAATGCCTGTTAATATACTTCCCAGTCAACAGAACCCTTATATTATACCATAATAGTCAAGTTTTGCTCTTTTTTCAAAGGTAAAGCATTAGGTGCTTACAGAATCTTTTTTTATATTTTCTAATTGGTACAGTATAACACAACTCAAAGAGATTAAGGATAGAACAGTATTATTGTGAATTTAATGATTTTTTAAATAATTTCAGCATATTTATGGCCTAGTGGATTCAGAATTAGAGCCACACCTGCCAGGGAGCATTTTCTCTAAATATTTATACCAAAAATACATGTAAATTTATATACTATTAACTCTTTACCACTTTTCATGTTATCCTTCAAAATATGGGAGAAAATAGAAAAGTACCTTTAATCTTGCTTCGTAGATATTTTAAGACTTCTTGGGTTCCTTTCTGAAAATGTGGGGAGAAAGACATATTCACCAAGACATACATTGCAGTTTTATAGATCAACGTGTATGTTTCAATATAAAATTTAAAAACCAGCACTGAATTCTAAATATGCTTACATTTATAATTTCTCTTCGAATCGTTCTCAAAGGATTTCCTTCTAGTGCCAGGAATTTCAAATGAAGTTCTCCCAATGAACAGGGCAGACTACAAAAGATTAAATTGATTTCAAGGAAGACATTAAGGGTAAGTATAATTCAACCAAGTAGTAGATTATAAAACTAACATATGACAAACTATACACCATAAAATAGTGTCAAAGAAAGTCTAAGTAATTTAGACCTAAAATATTTCCTCTCGAAATAGACGCCAAACATGTTTAAAAAGAAAAAAGAGAGATTTGTTTCGATACTATCATATTGTGATTACTAAAAAAAGAATGTGAGCTATAAAACATTTGCTAAATTGTATCCAGTGCTAAAAAGTAAATGTAAGCAAATAAAATATTTCATAATTGAAAAAAATGAGAAAGAATAATTTTCAATTGCATAATTCATATTTTTATTCAGAAAGGAAAGTAATTTTTATCTTTGGTACACAAAAAGATAACCAGTTTATACACATAAATATTAAATCTCAAAATCTATTAAGCATCTATAATATACTAGGCATTGGTATAGGGATTTCAAGAATTTCCCTTAAAAAATTTTTAGTTGAACAAAGGAAAAGGACACAGGTATGGCTAACCAAAATATAGGAATTATCTTATGTTGCTGGTGAGCATATAAAATAGCACAGCCACTCTAGAAAGTGGAGTTTTTTCAAGTTAAACATACACTCACCATACAACTAAGCAATCCCACTCCTACATATTTACCCAGGAAAAATGAAAATAATGTCCAACCAAAGACTTACATGAATATTCACAATAGTCAGAAAATTGAAAGTAATCCAAACATCCATCAACTAACTAGTGAAGAGATGAATAAATTGTGGTATATCTGTATAATGAAATAACACTCAGCAATAAAAATGAATAAACTATTGATACACAAAATCACATGAATGAATCACAAAAGCTTTATACTACAAGAAAAAAGACAGACACAAAAACTATATGCTATGATTTCATTTATATGATATTTTTTAAAAGGCATAACTACAGTGACAGAGCACATCACTGATTGCTAGGGGTTGGGGATATGAAAAGGGGATTGACTGCAAAGGGTAGGAGGAGAATTTAGGGAAACAGAAATGTTCTTCATGACTGTAACAATGGTTACACAATTACATACATTTGTCAAAAATCATCAAATTGTATATTTTAATTGGTAGATTTTACTGTATGTAGATTATACGTCAACAAATGAATATATTTTATATATATATATGTAATAAGACAAGTGCTAAACAAGTAAAGTTGCTCTGAGAATACAGAAGTAGAAATTAGCAAGGGGAGTAGAGGGAGAAGGGAATAGCAAAGCCTGGATTTGGGCTTAAAAAGAATGGAATTCCATCAGGCAGTCAGGTAGGAAAAGGGCATTCTAAGGTAAAGAAAATGAAGAAAAAGTCAGTACATTTGCAGTTCAGTGTTGTCAGAGTAGGATACCTGTGGGAGTGAAAGATGACAAAGAGAATGAATGAAGTCTGACTGTGAGATGTACTTGGCTGTTACACTAAAAATTCTGGACGTTATCTTGCAAGACAGTGATTCCCAACTGCTGGATGGAAAACCAGACGCATCAAAATCTCCTAGGAATTTTTAAAAATAAAACCCAAAAAAATTCCATTGTTAAAAATTCTGATTCATTGTTGCCTCAGTATCTGCATTTTTTCTTAAAGCTTCTCATGTGGTTCTGATACATAGCCATATTTGGGAAACAGTGCTGTAAGAATGGAGAATCATCAAAGTTTTTTAGTAGAAGAACAACCTGATAATTTGTACTTTATAAAAATTACTCTGGTAGCATTGCAAGGAATCAATATTTTAGTTAGAGGAGATTCTGGAGGGGTAAAAAATGCATAGAATGGTCTGATATCTAGGAAGTATGAGATCAGATGAAAGGAAGGAAAATACTTATAAGTTTCATTATGTTCTAGGCCCTGTGATATATACACTATATCCAGAGCTCTGGAGAAAGAGAAACATATATATCAGAAATATTTGTACCCATTACTTTATTTATTTAATATTATTTGTCATCGTTTTTGTTTTAAATATTTGCTTTCTGCTTTCACGTAGTAGCCAAAATAAGACTGTTATGGGGAAAAATGTATGTGCCAATATTTATGAGGCAAGCGATTATTTCATTCATTAGTTATAAGTACTTTTAGGAATATCCAGGTCACTTATTAGAAGTGAGTGGAAAGAATGGTCACTGTCCAAGCATTCAAATCTATGATCAAGATGTACCATATGGGGCTTCCCTGGTGGCGCAGTGGTTAAGAATCCGCCTGCCAATGCAGGGGACATGGGTTCAAGCCCTGGTCCAGGAAGATCCCACATGCACATGCCATGGAGCAACTAAGCCAACGCACCACAACTACTGAGCCTGCACTCTAGAACCTGCGAGCCACAATTATTGAAGCCCACATGCCTAGAGCCCATGCTCCACAACAAGAGACACCACCGCAACGAGAAGCCCACGCACTGCAACCAAGAGTAGCCCCCACTCACCGCAACTAGAGAAAAGCCCGCACACAGAAACGAAGACCCAACGCAGCCAGAAACAATAAATAAAATAAAATAAAATAAAAAGATGTACCATATGCCATATGTACATTGTGAAAACAATTTTGATATTTTAAAAGTTATTGAAATATACACATAGAAGAAAGTCTACCTTGCTTAACCTTTCTCCTTCTGTGAAGAGCGAACCATGTATCTGACATCCAAACATAAAACTTCAGACACCTAACTGGCATACAATCCTAGGTGAGTCTGAGTCTTTTTTTAATGTATCTGTAAAATAATTCCATCTCTAAATATTATGATTTTATAACTCCTTATGATTCTTTGCTCACTACCCTCTTCCTCTGCAGCTCCAACACAATCAATTGCTAAATACTACTTATTCTAACTCATCACACCTTTCACATCTTTCCTCTTCTTTCCATTCCCATTGTCACTACAGTTTAGGTCCTTATTACATAAGAGAGAAATCTACAAAGTTGTCAACTCAGTAAATTGGATATATCAAGTGCTCCTTAGTGATCATTATTAGATTAATAGAATTTTTTAGAATTCCCGTCTACAAAACCACTCCTATCCAAAGTATCTGACCCACTATCACCAATTTATTTTTTAATGAGATTACAATCAAGTTGGTTTTGTTCTTAATCTCCCCACCTCTTAATTAATGAAAACTGGCTCTTCACAGGCATTTTAAGGACCTCTTTCACATGGCCTCAACTTATCTTTCAAGACCTAAATTCTCACAATCTCCTTTCGTGCACCCTACCATCTCAGCTCGATTCCTTGCTGTTCTCTCTATGTATACTTACAATTTATTTTCTAAACTTTCAGAGCTTTGTTTGTGCAGTTTCCTCCTGCCAAATGAGTCATTCTGACCACCTTACGCATGCACTTAAAAATAGTGGTCATCCTTCAAAGATCACATGATAGGACTATAATGAGGCATGACCCTGTGAGTACATTTAAATTTTGTGCTCTAGGCAATTAACTTGCTTCACCCTGGTCCCAGTTCTATAATATCATCTAAAAATTTTACTTCTTCCACAAAGTCTGCCCTGATTCTTCTCAATAAATTGTGATTCCTGTATCTCCTTTAAACCCCCAGAGTATTTCGTATCTCTCCCACGGCTTTATGTCATTTAACAAATTCAACAAATATTTATCAGGCAGCTTCTATGTACCCAGGCACTGATCTAGGAGTTATTCGTAGAGTTTGTGTCCCAGTGAGTTGGAGTAACTGATTCCATTAGCATATTAAGCTTGCTGCCAAGAACAAAATCTTTGTAGGTCTACATATGATACCTACTCAATAAACAGTTATTGAATTCAATTTACAAAAGAGATCTCTACATGCTTTTGTAACTTATGAATTACAACCAAATATAGACATGATTTCTTATTCATTCCATCTTTAAACTTACCTACTAATATCATTGTTGCTTAGGTCAAGCCTTTCCAAAGATTGCAGGAGTGTAATTTCATCTGGAACAGATTTTAACTTGTTATCTCGCAGGTCTAGCACAAGGATAGAATTCAGATGCTTAAGGTGTTCTGCCCCTAACATTTCAATCTGGTTTTCACCTACATGTAATTCCTACAAAAGCAAAGATCAATCATGTGTATTTCTGTATTCAATGTTACACTAGATAATGAAAATAAAATTGAAATCTTGATTTCAAATCATTGAAAAATACATGGAAAATTTTCTAATTACTAAGATGCTTAAATTTTTAATTATATTTAAGCGATCTTACAGTTAAAGAAAAATGACAAAAAGGACAATTTTCAAGAATTTCCTAGTAATTCAAAAATTAATTAAAGGTTTAAACTGGAAGAAAGTTCAAAGTTTATAAAACCAAAGCAGAGAAATGATTTAGTAGTTACATTTATAGAATTAATAAAAACACAAATCCAAGAACTATACTGATAAAAAATTAAAGTTTTAAAACAAATCAGTACAAGTTTAAAAAGTTATTTATATTATAATAAATGTTTGTTACTCAACATTTTTATTAGTGATTATTATATATACTGATTTCTCACTACCAGAACCTAAGATTATCAGATAATTAATCTTATTAAATGATAACTTTTTCAGTTATTTATATCATTGCCACCATTCTGTTTAAAAGTAACTCTTGTTTATGGCTTTCTTTGCTGTGCGAAAGATTTTAAGTTTAATTAGGTCTCATATGTTTATTTTTGTTTTATTTTCATTACTCTAGGGGGTGGGTCAAAAAAGATCTTTTTGTGATTTATGTCAAAGAGTGTTTTGCCTATTTTTTCCTCCAAGAGTTTTATAGTGTTCAGTCTTACATTTAGGTCTTTAATTCATTTTGAGTTTATTTTTGTGTATGATGTTAAACTTAAAAGCTTTTGCACAGCAAAAGAAACAATAAATAAGACGAAAAGACAACCCTCAGAAAGGGAGAAAGTATTTGCAAACAAAGCAACTGACAAAGGGTTAATCTCCAAAATATACAAACAGCTCATGCAGCTCAATATTAAAAAAACAAACAACCCAATCAAAGAATGGGCAGAAGACCTAAACAGACGTTTCTCCAAAGAAGACATACAGATAGATGGCCAAGAGGCACATGAAAAGATGCTCAACATCACTAATTATTAGAGAAATGCAAATCAAAACTACAATGAGGTATCATCTCACGCAGGTCAGAATGGCGATCATCAAAAAAAATCTACAAACAATAAATGCTGGAGAGGGTGTGGTGAAAAGGGAACCCTCTTGCACTGTTGGTGGGAATGTAAATTGATACAGCCACTATGGAGAACAGTATGGAGGTTCCTTAAAAAACTACAAATAGAACTACCATATGACCCAGCAATCCCACTACTGGGCATACACCCTGAGAAAACCATAATTCAAAAAGACACATGTACCCCAATATTCATTGCAGCACTATTTAGAATAGCCAGGACATGGAAGCAACCTAAATGTCCATCAACAGATGAATGGATAAAGCAGATGTGGTACATATATACAATGGAATATTACTCAGCCATAAAAAGGAACGAAACTGAGTTATTTGTAGTGAGGTGGATGGACCTAGAGTCTGTCATACAGAGTGAAGTAAGTCAGGAAGAAAAAAACAAGTATTGTATATTAACACATATGTGTGGAATCTAGAAAAATGGTAGAGATGAACCTATTTGCAGGGCAGGAATAGAGACGCAGACATAGAAAATGGACGTGTGGACAGACGGGGATGGGGGGACAAATTGGGAGATTAGTATTGACATATACACAGTACCATGTGTAAAACTGATAGCTAGTGGGAACCTGCTGTATAGCACAGGGAGCTCAGCTTGGTGCTCTGTGATGACCTAGATGGGTGTGACGGGGTGGGGGGGCTGGGAGAGAGGTCCAAGAGGGAGCAGATATATGCACACATATAGCTGACTCACTTCGCTGTACAGCAGAAAGGAGCACAACATTGTAAAGCAACTATACTCAGAAAAACAAAAAACAAAACAAACTCAACACTAATGCATAAAAGTATACATACAGAAAAGCAAAGCATAGCAAATTTAAATACAATGTTAATGCTATATACTTAATACCAAAAAAAGTAATTAATTTTAAACAGACTTTATGATGAGGTAAACATGAGTTGGCAACTTATAGAATTAGATACGTATTCATTCCTGGTATTCCAGGTTTCCTGCACTATGGTCCCAACTTACTTTGTAAGCCTCATCATCTACTACATCTCCAGTTATAAACTACTCTCCAGATGAAATGGACGAATTCTTATTTTTAAATTTGATTACTGCTTTTTAAAAAAAAATCTATTATTGACAATACCATTAATATATTTAGTCATTAAAATTCTGAAAAACAGGAATATAGGAAAAAATAACACATAACTAATGCATATTCTCAATGTAAAATACGTTTAAAATTTCATTTTCATGATTAACTTTCAGAAAATGTATAGTTATTTAATAATCAACTAAATAGTACCTTTAATAATTTACAAGAAGAAAATTCCGGTAGAAAACGTAATTTATTCCTCCGCAAATAAAGCAATTCTAGTGATTCCATGCTAGCCAATTCAGAAGGTATAGTTTCCAAGAGATTTGAATTACAATCCAAATGCTTTAATCCTGTAATATATGTTTAGTGAAACACAAAGATATTTTAATAGAGAAAAAATACTGGTTTATAATTGTATATACATTCAAAGAATGTGTAAGTAATCATGAGGACTTACAAACCTGTGATATTCTATACTGCTATAATAATCAAGAATCCTAGAATACCATTGAATTACATAAATGTAAACTAAAAATGTTTTTATTTAGTTATAATTAAAGAGAAACAATGATATTAAAATCAATGTTTAATAATAGTTCAGGTCATCTTTGTAAAGATTTAAAAAACAAAGTACTCTAGTACTCCTTTAAAGTATGGTAAAATATATAAACTATATACTATGAGATTATTTCCCTCAGTAATTATACATCTTTAAAAAGAAAAAGTTTAAGGTAAACATACATGCATACTACTCGTATGAAAGAATGTCAAGTAACTCTGGCCAGTAGTAGCTTAGACACATCTGTATTTAAAATAGGCAACTGATGTTCTGTCAAAAACCCATGGATTTCTATGTATTCCCTCTTATTCTTTCATCTACTCATACTGCCTCTCTCCCTGTCTTCTTTCCTTCCTTTCTTCTTCTAATTTTTTTTAAGTTACATTCTTTTGCTAACACCTTAGCTAACACTCTTGATAAGAAGGTATAAGATAGCTCAAGAAGAATGTTCTCACTTGCAGCATCTCTCTCACCTCCTGGATCTTTCTTAAAAGGCAGAAGAGAAAAAAAAAATGGAAAAAAAGTAAAGGTCTTCTTTTTCTTAAGACTTTAATAAGCAGTTTTCTCCCTAATCCATATTACAGATTCTTCCACTTACAATGGCCACCATATATTTTCCACTATATATTCTCAACCCTATAGTTTGAATAGGCAATATGCATTTTACAACTTTTTTTTCCTGTACTTTGAGCCTGTCAATTTTAACATAATTCAAGACTGAATTGACGTACTGCCTTAGACTACTTCTTGCATTGTTTAAAGAAGTTAACTGCTTTCCAAAACAAATTTAATAGTACTACTTTCAACTTATAATAATTGATGTATTATTTGGCTAGATCACTGAGAAAAATGTCACAAGCTGATCTACCTTAGATCCAATAAATTCTATAAAGCAAGTTTGTTTTAAATTTAGAAACTAGCTTTCACAAGTGTTTCCATCTAAGAGCACTGATTGAGAATAGAAGCAGTACATAGAAGAAAGTGAGGTGGATGGACTCTGTCCTACAGAGTGAAGTAAGTCAGAAAGATAAAAACAAATACCGTACGCTAACGCATATATATGGAATCTAAAAAAAAAAAAATTGGTTCTGATGAACCTAGTTGCAGGGCAGGGATAAAGACGCAGACATAGAGAATGGACTTGAGGACACGGGGTGGGAGGGGGAAGCTGGGGTGAAGTGAGAGTAGCATCGACTTACATACACTACCAAATGTAAAATAGTTAGCTGGTGGGAAGCAGTAGCATGGCACAGGGAGATCAGCTTGGTGCTCTGCGATGACCTAGAGGGGTGGAATAGGGAGGATGGGAGGGAGGCTCAAGAGGGAGGGGATATGGGGACATATGTATGCATATGGCTGATTCACTTTGTTGTACAACAGAAACTAACACAGTATTGTGAAGCAATTATACTCCAGTAAAGATCTATTTTTAAAAAAAATAGATTGTTTATATATGTATAACTGAATCACTTTGCTGTACAGCAGAAATTAACACAACATTGTAAATCAATGATAGTTCAATAAAAAATAAATTTAAAAATATGAATAGTAAAAGTGAAAAAGAGCAATGGGGATGGAGTAAGAAGATGCAAACACTGGCTCTACAATTTACTACATAATTTCTAAGCCTAGGTTTCTGAATCTTTTTTTTTCTTTTTTTCTGAATCTTTAAAATGTAAATAATATGCATCCCTACTAACTTGTAGAACTATTGTGGCAGCAAAATAATATATTTAAAAGTATTCTGAGTTACAAAGAACCATGCAAATGTTAGATACTGTTCTTGGAATCTCATCATGAATAGTGAAATAGTAACTAAATGTCCTACTGGTGATAGCTTAAAAGTATCATTGTCATGGCTGAAGGACAGAAAGCATCTGAGCATAATTATATAGTATATTAGAAAAACTGCTGTAAGTTCAAAGTATTTTTCTATTGACTTCAATATTTGCTCCTCTCTCTCAATATTTCTACTCAATTTGTGAAAAAAAAAATGCTTACATATGCACTCCAGATATCATATTTTATGTTTAGCTCTACTTTCTGATACCTTTATTGAAAATGGCAAAGGCAAGCAGAGTCAACTACTGGTATCACAACTAAAGGCTCCCCTGAAATGTCAATTCAATTTATGGCAGATTTAATTTATGCATTCCTGTTATAAGTTACAAATAACCATTAATCTAAAGTAAAACAGCAGTGATCATTTTGTAATGTATAAAAATATCACTATCTTAAACACCTGAAATAATATAATATTGTTAGTCAATTATACATTAATTTTTAAAAAAGTCAAACAGCACAATTGTACAAGTTCACTGCAAAATAATCTGTAATCAACTGTACGAAATCACATCTATGACTTCCTCCACAAAAGGGAGGTTTAAAAAAATGAAAAGGCTCATATATGATTAGCAAAAAAGAGTAGTAAGGTCTATAGCTGACACAGTGTGGTCATCAACTAAGAAATAATAATAGTTTGCCTTTAGACAAAAAAAAAAAAAAATCACTATGAAGATTTTGGACTCTAAATCAAAAATTCTAACATGATTAAGTATACTTACTTAAAAGGTACTGAAATGTACCTTCAGTTTTTTTTATCCCTTAATATTAGTTCTACAATACACCAAATATAATGGTTCAATGGTAAACTTTAATGGAACCACTAAATTTTAACTTTTTTTAAAAAAAGAATTGACAATTTGGGCAAAACTAGACTATCTCTTGACATTATTACTTATGGACCTCAAGGAGGATACAGCTATAACATAACCATGTACCACAGGTGGCATCACCTAGGAAAGGGGAATGACCTCTTCGTAAATGTTGAATAAAATGAATGAAGAGATAGAATAGCTCAAAACCTTAATCAATTTCTCAGGTATACAATATTACCACAATTTATAATCTTATTTTCTTTTTCTCCTTTTGATATGCCAAAGTATTGTTCTGGCAGTAATTCTTTTTTTTATTGTTTTGTTTTATTACTTATTTATTTATGTATTTATTTAGGCTGCACCGAGTCTTAGTTGTGGCACACAGGATCTTAGTTGTGGCATGCGGACTCTTAGTTGCAGCATGCGGACTTCTTAGTTGCGGCATGTGAACTCTTAGTTGCGGCATGCATGCAGGATCTAGGTCCCCGACCAGGGATTGAACCCGGGCCCCCTGCATTGGGAGCACAGAGTCTTACCCACTGGACCATCAGGGAAGTCCCCTGGTGGTAATTCTTTACAAAGTTGCTAGACTACAATGGCCTGGAGAAAATCTGACTAGTTGTTATTGTTTGCATTTACCACCATAAAATCTATTATTTTACTTCTCTGTAACTAACTATAAAAATAAATATTTTTTTAAATGTAAGTTGCACCAACTTCAAATTTTTTTATTTTTTAAAATAGAGAAGATTTACTTTTCATTCCACTTATTTCTGCAGGCAAACTCTTCAGTTGATTACTGGAAAGATTGAGTTGCAGCAGGCTGGACAGAGATGCAAAACTAGCAGGAACAGTTGTAAGATGATTGTTCGAAAGATCCTTTAAAAAGAGAAAGACAAAGTGAATGAATGAACAATAAAAAAAGAAAGGATCCGTAAGGGGAGTTTCAGAATTTTGAGGGCATTGCAACATTAAAAAAACTATTTACAGATGATATGTTTTGTAACTCTCATTCACTGACAATTTCACAGATCATCATTCATTACCTCAATATACTCTGTGGGCCTACTATGTGCCTAATAATGTAGCAGAGAGGAATTAAAATGAATTCTGACTTCAAAAATATTTTACACAAAGGTTTCTGTTAATATTAAGTCATGCTGTACCATGTTATCATGTTTTCAAAAAAAAAATCTATTTTTTCATCCAATATTTGTTGAGTACCTATGATAAATCAGGCAAACTGTATGGTTAAACTGTAATATGAAATGAAAAACACCTTTGCAAGAAAGAAAAATTCTTGGAAGGAAAAAAAAGTAAGCTGAAAAAAAATGGCCATTTTAATTTGGGAGGAAAAAAATATTCCCTCTTGGTTCTGCTGACCTCAGCAAGTCTGCTTTAACTAAGTACAGAAGTCTACTCTACTCTCTAGTTTTCACTCATTCAAGCTTGCCTAATTAATCTCTATACCTTGATGTTGCTTTAAGTCTTTGTTTCTGTTTTGTCTTTTATGACAGAATATTTTTTTGAAACTCCCTTTAAAAGACAATGTTATGAATCAGGTATTCCTCTTACAACATTCAAATCAGATATAAGTACTACACCAGCTATCATCAAACTGTTAGGTAAGGCAAGTGGCAACAATGAATAAGAAAAAAATGACTTAAAGGAACTGTTCTCTGAAGACTATGATTTAGTCTAATGTTAAACAACTGTAACTCCAAATAAATTAAGATAGAAAAAGGAAAAATGCTAGATCAGTGTATTTTTTAAAACATACTGTTATTATAATAACATAAAATAACATATTATCATAATCTACAACATCAATATAATAATATACAACCCAAATACTCTAAGGTCTAAGAATCAACAGATTACTAATAAATAATTATTTAGTAATATCAAAAGTTACTGACACTAAATGCAATATAGCATTCTGGATTGGATCCTGGAACAAAAAAAAAGGACATTAGTGGAAAAACTGGGAAAATATAAAATTTGTAGTTTAGTTAGCAATATTGTACAAATGTTAATTTCTTAGTTTTTACAAATATCCCATAGTTAAATAAAATGTTCGCCCATTAGGGCTTCCCTGGTGGCGCAGTGGTTGAGAGTCCGCCTGCCGATGCAGGGGACACGGGTTCGTCCCCCGGTTCGGGAAGATCCCACATGCCGCGGAGCGGCTGGGCCCGTGGGCCATGGCTGCTGAGCCTGCGCGTCCGGAGCCTGTGCTCCACAATGGGAGAGGCCACAGCAGTGAGAGGCCCGCGTACCGCAAAAAAAAAAAAAAAATATGTTCACCCATTAAGGTGGGTGAAGGGTATATGGGATCTCTCTGTACTATCTTTACAACTTTTCTGTAAATCTAAAATTCTTCCAATATCAAAAGCTAAAAATAAAAAAAAGTTTCTGATAAAGAAAAGATTCACAAATTCCTAAGAAGTTTTAAAGAACCCAAAACAACAACAGAATTGCTAATAAATATTTAATTACTGCAGTTAATGACTAAATTAGATACAAAATAAGTACAGTGCATATAAATTAATCATTATTTATGCTAAGTCATTTCTTCATTATTTATTTAGTACCATTGTGATAAGCAGTTTTTATATAACTTTAAGAAATATTATTGGCTTAAATTATTATAGATCTTATACTTTTAATGTTTTAATATATTATTGCTCACATTTATGATTTATTTGATAATGAGTCCTTAAGAACACAGTTCTCAGCTGAAGCATCCTTTCATTATGCAGTGACTATCTGGGAACCCATAAAGAAAGTTTATTATATTAGGTTTCCTTTAAGCTTTCTACTAGGCTTTTGTTTTTTTTCTTTTTAAATCAATTGCTATCTTTTACCAGCAAATTTTATAAGGAAATCTGATGGCTCCTTCCTTTACCACTCATTTCACCTACCTATGCCTTTTACTTTCCAAACCTTATTTCCAATCTGATCAGATTGAAAAACAAAGAGCTACTGAAGAAATGGTTGAAGAGAGTATGTATTTTGATTTCAAACACTGGTGCAGATGGGTGAAATATCAAGAAAAAATAAGTAAAAGAAGCAATTTTTCCTTGAACAGAAAATAAACTTTAAGGCTAAAATGACTAATGAGTTTTTCAAAACATGTAATTGTGACTAGAACAAGAATGTAACATGAAATAACTATGTGGAGTAGAGATTTATATTAGAACATCTGATCGAATACAACTGAAGTCTTTCAGATAGGATACCTTACAGTGGAATCTTACTTCTTCCGTGGTAAAGTGGGGGAACAAAAAAAAGGATACACTCTGAAGTCAGATTATTTTATGTTAAATTCCTAAATTCTTTACATATTAGTTATATGACTTTGGATGAGTTACTTTTTTTTTTTTTTTTACAAGTCTTAGTTTCTTATCTGTAATGGGGATAAAACTATCTACTTTGCTATGTGTATAGCAAAGTAATATGTAATATACTATATGTATAGCAAATATAGTAATATGCTATAGGTATAGCAAAGTGCCTATTGTTTGTATTATTCTTAATATGACTAAAATAATACTTGCATTGCTTTATGGTTATCTCTATCTAAGATGTGAAATGGATAGAATAAAAATTTTTACCAAGAAATATGGCCATTTTGAAAACTAGCGTAGAATAAACAGGCCCTGAAGGCATTATCTGGACACTCAGAGGACAAAAGAGCCATAAGGGCTACAGAGGAGGAAATGAAAATCGAGATAAAAAAGGGAATTGGTATACGCTAAAAACACCTTTCCTCTATTTTGCTAAACCATAAAAGCCTCTGAATAACAAAGTCATCCTCAATGGCTCCTTTCCCAAACTCTATTCCTAAATTAAAATCTAAGGTGATTTCCTTCATAAGAAAAACATAAGAAAATCAAATTTACAATTACTAATTTAGCATTCTAATTGTAATTCACTGTTTCTGATAATCTAGTCATACAATCAGCTGCCCATGTAACCATGATTTCAATCATACATCCAATTTTTCAGCCTAATAAAAAAATCCCACCAGCCCCAAATTATATAAATATTGCAAAATCAAAACTTACTAAATCTTCTAAGTTGGAAAGTTGTTCAAATCCCCTTGGTATGCAAGTTAGTTCATTATGCTGGAGATATAGGCCCTTCAGGTTTCTTAGATTTGTAATTTCTTCAGGGAGTATTTTCAGATTGTTATGGCTATTGATTGATAAAACAAATGCTGAACAATTTGGTGACAACACAATAAATATTTATAAAGGCATTTTTGCTAATCGACTACCTGGGCTCATTAAAAAAAATGAAGTAAGGTTACTAATTTTAAGTACTTACAAACTTTACATCCTAAAAGTACACACCCATTAAAACGACAGTAATCTAAAGTAATCAAATTGAGAGTTTCAAAGAAATAAAGATTTTTAACCAAACATATAATTTGTGAACTTTTGATTGGTTCCTTTTAATCAACTTGATTTTACATATAAATGAAAACATTGGGCTATAATTTTTACACTGCATATGAGGCTTAGAATTTTGACAAAGATGTGCACATACATACACTACAATGAAGTCACATTTTACATGGGGATTAGGTTTCAACGTAGCACTCAAGACAAAAATAGCTATTTCTGTTTGAGGGCCTGGCATGTCCAGATGAATGCAATATGCAACTCCAGTCTTATTTTTCACCAAATAAGGACTGTTATTTGAGGAACTGTTCTCCCTCAAACCAGTTAACTCCAGAAAACTGCAACTTTATCATGCTGTGATCGATAGATTTATATCTATTTTATAAGCCCCAGCTTTTCAAACTATGTTTTGAACACTTAAACTTTTTCATTTTTTTCTCCTAAATTAAATCTTCCCTAATCCCTTTCCCCCTGTGTATATATAACATATAAGGCAGTTATTTTTCTTGAAAGTCTGAGTGTGTACTGAAGGGCAAACAGAGTTAGCTAGGGCCTTAGCCACCTGGCTTCCCATGTACCTATCAGTGAGAACCAGACGCATACCCATGGAATCCCAGGAGTCCTCAGAAAAGTTTAAAAACTACTAATATCGAAAACATGAAATTTTCCTCATTATAACCACTAAAAATTATTTCATAAAAATAAAAAGTATTTAAAAAAAATCAACTGGCCTTAAACTTGTAAAACCAGAAAACATGCAGGCAATTCTAAAACAAAAAATAAAATAATCTGAGAAATAAAACTTAAAATTATTATTCTGCTTAATCACTTTCTGAGATAATACAAAACATTTTTTACATGCTAGAAAAAGTGTTTGAAAAAAATTTTAAAGAATGTTAGATTTACACCCTTATACTAGCAATACTGAAATAAGTTTAAATTTTACCTGACATTAAGTTTCTGAAGATTTTCTAATTCTCTTATAGCAGAAGGAAGGGATGTCAGCTGATTATCATGTATCTAAAAGTTATTAAAAGACACAGTCAATATCTTAGTCTTATAATTAACCATGAGCTTTGCTATTGTACAATACTCTCTGATGATAGTCTCGTTATTCTAGCTCAAAAGCATAGCTGGGCTATTGGTAATTTGTTTTGAGTATAGAAAAGAAAAAGGAGTTTGGAGTTTGAAATTGACCAAACTGCTGCTAATAAATCATGAAGTGATAAGAGATCAATTTTAAAATACTACAGTTAAAAAAAAAACAAAACTTCCCCTCACTGAGTGGAACTTCAATCTCAAATGAGAGATGACAAGGTCAGAAACTAACAGCCCTCTGATGGTATGATTTATGTCAACATTTACAAAAAATAAATGAGGAGGAAGACTTCTCTCATGTTCTTACAGAATCATATTGCTTTCAAGGTACAAGGAACCTTTAAGAGAACACTTATGCCAATTCATTCATTTAACAAATGAAGAAAATAAAAACTTCTCTAGAAATCTGACTACATTCAACTTTTTCAGACATGAAATGGAAGATTTTTGATGATCCTAAGTAAAGTATATCAGAAGTCTGTAGATTATGAAATAAACTACTCATGACATGGCAACTAGGTAATCTTAAAAACATAGTCCCTGGGCTTCCCTGGTGGCGCAGTGGTTGAGAGTCCGCCTGCCGATGCTAGGGGACGCGGCTTTGTGCCGCGGAGCGGCTGGGCCTGTGGGCCATGGCCGCTGAGCCTGCGCGTCTGGAGCCTGTGCTCCGCAATGGGAGAGGCCACAGCAGTGAGAGGCCTGCGTACCACAAAAAAAAAAACAAAACATAGTCCCTGAATAAACACACAAAAATTTAAGCCCAATAATTCAAGTCAGTATTGGAGATAAGTTACCAAAAAAAACCCCCCAAATAACAAAAAAAAACAAAAACAAAACAATATTAAATACTTGCTTTAACACCTACAATAATAATGATTATAAAAATAATAGCAATAGGGCTTCCCTGGTGGCGCAGTGGTTGGGAGCCCACCTGCCAATGCAGGGGACACGGGTTAGTGCCCCGGTCCGGGAAGATCCCACAAGCCACGGAGCAGCTGGGCCCGTGAGCCATGGCCGCTGAGCCTGCGCGTCCGGAGCCTCCGCAACGGGAGAGGCCACAACAGTGAGAGGCCCGCGTACCGCAGGAAAAAAAATTAATAATAATAATAGCAATAAAAAAAAAGACGAGCAGCAGCAACCACTTGTTAAATACCAATTCTGTCTGTATGCATTAACTCATTTAATTCAAAGAACAATTTTTAAAAACAGGTAGTAGTACCAGTCTCGGTTTATAAACGTGGAAACTGAAGCACAAAGAGGTAACCTTCTCGAGATCACACAGCTATCAAGTGGCAGAGTCAAAATTTGAAGCCTGATGTTCTGACTCTGCACTCAACCATTATGCTATGCCGAACACAGTAATTTGTTATTCTTCCTTGCACTCTACCGACTGAACATGGGTCTTCTATTTCTCAAAGCCTAAATTTAGCTTTAGAGTCTCTTCAGACGAAGATCCATATTTATAATCAGTCAACTTACATCAAGAACAGTCAGTGCAGGAAGGAGTCGGAGGTCATCAGTAAGTGACTGAAGTTTATTGTTTGATATGATTAGTTTGGTCAAATCTGTCTGTTCCCACCATCGCTCAGTAGCACTGAATGAAAGATTCTGATTAGCTTCTTCAGGGATATCCACATTTATTCTCCAAACACACTGAGGCACTATTTCCACCACCACCACACCAAAAAAAAAAAAAGAAGGGAAAGAGGTGAGATACTAAGTACACATGTTTATAACAGCTATTCTGCTTATCTACTGAAAAGAAGTTTCTGAAACACTAAAAAAACACTTTCAAATAAATCAAACAAATAGCAATGAATTCCAACTACATTACAATGGAAGTTGATTTTAATCCAAAACAGAATATTGGATATGTATTTTTCATATTAGATCTCACTCTTATCTTCATTCAACTATATTTACTATATACATTCCCTACACAGCACATAGTGGTTAGAGATACAAGACAAATAAAGAATGGACTCTACCATTATGCTACTATAACAGAGAATGTATGGAAATCAACATTTAAACTAACTCATTTATATCTCATAGCAACTCCGTGAGGTAGGTGTTATTTTCACTTTACAGATGAGAAAAATGGGGCACAGAGAATGTATCATTTACTCAGGGTTATATAGCTAAATGGGATTTAAACCCTGGAAAAACTAAATTGTCTTGCTTCTCAGTGAATATTGGTAAGGTATATCTGACTATGGTAGCTGCTCTCTATCTGACGTACAATTTTATTTCTTATCCCATCACACAACATTGTATTACTTCTGTTGCAGCATATACAGCAATTCCTTTGACACTGCAAATAAGACTGTTCAAGTTAAACAGAAAGAGTCCAGGTTTATCACTATAACACTTGAAGCTCTAGAAAATATTAACTTGCTCTAGTGCTATAGCAGAACTATTTTAAATAGTCCTTCATTCCTTGATACCAGTAGGATGATATATGGGTATGATCTAGAACTTTAGCTAATATTAATCAAGGCAACCATTGGTTATGCCTTACAGTTACTGACTATCAAGGCAACCATTGGTTATGCCTTAATCAAGGCAACCATTGGTTATGCCTTACAGTTACTGACTATCATTTTAAAATGACATTAAATGGAAAGGTGTGGTCAAAGTTTCAAGTTCAGGACACAATCAGATCAAGCAATCCAATACAATGGTTTTACAGAAGCAAAGCAAAGTTCCTGAAATCCATTCACTCAAAAAAAATGAGGTACCTATATTTGTATTAGAATAAATTATAAGATCCCTTTCCTACCCTTCTCTCTGCCTAAGCAATCTGCATTTCTCTACTCTTCTATCAATGAATCCCCAGCAAATGGGAATAAAACAGAATGAAAATCCACCCATGTTTATGGACAGAGGTTTATTTTTAAAGCAAAGCAAAGAAACAAAAGCCACTCTTTCCAACTCTTTGAGCACAAACGCAGCATAAAATGTATCTTCACTGTTGTTATTATTATTTTGGTGGGTAGATATGGATGACTGAGTGGGAATGAGAAACACACATCAGCCCAACACTAGCATGTGAAGTTACTGAAACCAAATGAATCAATAGAAATGGGTACATTTATGTATTTGACTAAAAATCAATGTTACCCTTAAGTAAAAATAAGTTACAAATGTGCCATACCAGTTTGGGTCACCAACAAAAAGCTCCAGTATAAGAATGAAAAAAAAACAAACAAACAAGGCAAGACAAAACAATACAAAACATTAAAAAAAAATGTATGGAAGAAGCTATGTGATATGCACAAGTCTACTCCTAAAGAAAATATGTAGAGCATTGTGCATATATTTTTCTCTTAACACCTACACGTACAAAGGTACATTAAGACGATTATACTTAAAAGGCAATGTAATGGAAAATATCTTTTTTTGTAAGGAGGAAGGTGGAGAACACAATAAATTTGTATACAACACAACAAAAATATCTGTTACCCATGAACTACACTAAATGAATGTTACAATTTTATCATTATTACTTCAGATATTTTGGTTAACCAAATTTGTCTTTGTAGGAACTATCACGGGATGGATAATTGTTGATACTATACTGCTGTTATTAAATATGTATCAATTTGCTTTTCCATAAACATTGACTTACTGCTCATTCTTTTCCCCATTGTTTGTGAAATATCTCAATTTCTTCAAGAGTTTATAGCGCCAAGATTCATGTCACTTTTCTTCCCTCCCCACAAATATGAAGAACCACTGAAAGGTATATTGTCCTAATTATTGAGGAATTCAGTGGAGCCATCCTAAAAGTAGCTTACCAATTCGCAAAACAGAAACTACCAGGTAAAAAATAAATGTCAATAGGCATATAAATGTGAAAAAAATTTACTATGGAGTTAGATTTGCTTTATGTAATTTTTAAAGTTATATAATATGTCAAATATATACATAAATTAAAAAATAGTATAATGAAATAATGCTCCACGTACCCACCGCCCACATTTAACAGTTATCAACTCATGGCCAATCTTGCTCATATATAATCCCATCTCACAGTGATCTAAACTACAATCTTAGGAAGATAGAAAAGAACAAAGTAAACCCAAAGTAAACAAAAAAAGAGTAGAAATCAATGACATCGAAAACAAATATGGTAATAGATAAAAAGCAATAAAACCAATACCCAGTTCTTTGAAAGTGGGAATATCACTACCAATCTTACAGATGTTAAGAGGATAAGGGAAGGGGCTTCCCTGGTGGCACAGTGGTGAAGAATCCACCTGCCAGTACAGGGTACATGGGTTTGAGCCCTGGTCTGGGAAGATCCCACATGCCACGGAGCAACTAAGCCTGTGCACAACTACTGAGCCTGCGCTCTAGAGCCCGTGAGCTACAACACTGAGCCCGTGAGCCACAACTAATGAGCCTGTGTTCCACAACTACTGAAGCCCGTGCCTAGAATCCATGCTCCGCAACAAGAGAAGCCACCACAGTGAGAAGCCCGCGCACAATGAAGAGTATCCCCCCCCACCCCGCTCACTGCAACTAGAGAAAGCCCGCGTGAAGCAACGAAGACCCTAAAAATAAATAAATAAATTTATTTTTTATAAAAAGGATAAGGGAATATGATGAACAACTTTATATCCATACATTCAACAACTTAGAGGATATGGACAAATTCCCTCAAAGGGGGAAAAAAAAAGCACAACAGCAATAGGAAATCTGAGTAGCCTTTTGAAAGGGTCCCTGGACCCAATTCCAGTGTGCATATTGTTCCCCACACAATCAATTCTCAGACACCCTTCTGGTGTCTCAACTCTGACACTACTAGGGGACATAGAATCAGATTCCACAAGTAAAGGGCTCAGTCCCACAAAACTGCTTTCCACTTCAGAGGCCAGTCACAAGCCCAGCTTATTACCAGTACTTCTCATCAACTGGCTATAAATCAGAGGTTCCCACGACTCCCTCCTTGGGTTCAGTTAATTTGCTAGAATGGCCCACAGAACTCAGGAAAACCCATTTACTCACTAGTGACAGATTTATTACGAACAATATTAAAGGATACAAACCAACAACCAGATGAAGAGATACATAGGGCAAGGTCTGAAAAAGGGAGCTTCCATCCTTGTAGAGCTCATGGTCCGGCACAATGGCACATGGAAGCATACTGGTTCCCTTATGTGGAAGCTCTCAGAACCCTCTCCTTTTTTTGGTTTTTACAGAGGCTTCATTACCTAGGCATGATTGATTAACTCATTTGCCATTGGTGATTGATTCAACCTCTATCCCCTCTCTCCTCCCCAGAATCAGGGTTTCCGATTCTGATTCTATCTGTGGTTAGTTCTCCTGGCAACCAGCCTCCATCCTTAGGTGTTTTGCAAAAGTCACTTTCACTAACATAAACTCACTTGTGGTACTAAAGTCTTGTTAACAAGACACCATTTAAATTTTATGGCTCTGAAGCAGTTTTTTGGGGGTTTTGTTTTTCGGGAACTGAGGACAAGAAACCAAATATTATAACAAAGGATGCTCCCATTGCTCTTATTATTCAGGAAATTCCAAGGGTTTTGGGAGCTGTGGGCCAGGAACTATGGATGAAGACCAAATATCTCTGAGAAATATATTTTGGTCATCTGAATGACCAAATATATATATTTCTTATAAATCACAATAATGCACATCATATCTATCAAAGAAATTAAACTTGCTATTTAAAACATTCCCACAAAGAAAACTCCAGGCCCAGATGGCTTCACTGGTGAATTCTACAGACATTTACAGTAGAAATGATACTGATTCTACAGACTGTTTCAGAAAATAGAGGAAAGAAAAATTCCCAGCTCATTTTACAAAGCCAGCACTACTCTGATACCAAAATCAAAGACATTGAAAGGGGGGGGGGGAAAGCCAAAACCCAAAAACCAAATCTAAACACCATGACCAAGTGATTTATATAAGGAATGCAAGGCTGCTTTAACATTTGAAAATGAATCAATGCAGTTGACCATATTAATAGAAAAAGAGTAACACAATATGACTGTCAAGGAATGAAAAAAAAAAAAAGCATCTGACAAAATTCAACGATCATTCAAGATAAAAACTCTCAAAAAACTAGGTATGAAAGGGAACTCCTTCAACCTGATAAAGGGTATCTTTGAAAAATCTACAGCTAACAATATACTTAATGGTGAAAACTCAGTGCTTACTCTCTAAAACTGGGTACAAAGTGAGGATGCCCATTCTTACTGTGTCAATATTTTACTAGCAGTTCTGACTAATGCAACAAGGCAAGAAAAATAAATAAAAGCCATTCAGATTGAAAAGGAAGAAGTAAAACTGTCTCTATTAGCAGACATGAACATCTATATAGAAAATCCTAAGAAAGCTACAAAAAAAATTATATGTAATGAGTTTAGAAAGGTCACAGACTTCAAGCTTAATATACAAAAATCAATTGTGTTTCTACATATTAGCAATCATTAACTGAAAACATTCTTAAATGCTTAAAGATTTACAAGACATAACATCTAAAACCATGAAATACTCAGTGTTAAATTTAACAAATATATGCAAAACCTATGGTATGAAAATACAAAATATATGAAAGACCTGTGGTTTTTGCTGTGAAAACTTAAAGAAGGTCTAGATAAGTAGAGAAATATACCACGTTACAGCT